TTGCTTGAAGGACATAAACCATTTTTTTGACATACTCCAAACGTATCTGAAAGAAAGTAGGGGCGAATGTTGATTATCCAATTTTTCAAAATCTGTTCTCCAATCAAATCTTTGAAAAATGAGCAGAAAAATAAAACTAACCTACTTACAGGTTCACGTAAAACCCTAAAAGTCATACTTGCAAACATTGTTGAAGACCCTGCCTGGAAAGCCCGGATAGGAATTTTTTGGTCAACATATCTTTTAAAAAATTTTTTGATGAATTTTTGAAAGTTTTTAAAACGAAAAATCAGTTTTTGAGCACCCTTATGCGTTTTTTTACACCTACTGATATTTCGTCGGCTAATTTTCAGTATCAGGGCCTGTTTTGAGCATTAAAGTTCGATATTTACAGTTCAGTTTTAAAATGAGGTGCTATACACAATTTTTCTCCAAAAAAAAACAAGCTATTTTTCTTAAATTTCGAAGCTGGCGCCAACTGTCCGGGCCGGCCTTTAACAAACACTATGAACCAAGAAAAATATGGTTTTTTTATTATATATTTATTGTATTGAATTCAAGAATAATTTCAGAAGCTCCGTTTCCAATATCACCAGAATAATAAGTTTCCTCACATATAATTATTGTACGGCGTCGAGGAACGTTTATTTAAAGGTGCACAATCAGACCAGCAGGAAAATAGTCGTTTTGTGCCGTTAAACTCCACGCGGCTTTGAAGCTTCTTGATTTTTCAAAAATGAATACTTTTCCTATTTTTCTCGGTTTTAGCTTTCTGGTCCGAAGATGCGCCTTCAAATAAGTTTTAGCCACAAAGTTCATTGCAGTAAAGAAAGAATACTGAATTGCATTTTTTTTTCAGAAGAACTTGCTTTTTCACCTTATACTTATATCACAAACTCTCTTGCTGTTTTTCAAAGATGTTAGTGCATTATTGAAAATTTTATGGTAATTGCTAAAAGTTTTGAGAAATTCACATGAAGAACTTCACATGTTTTGAGAACTTCACATGAAGCATTGCCTAAAAACTGAGCAAAATAATGTTAAGTATTAAAACCATGAGCTTGATCTTTGCAGAATGAATCGTTTATCTGGAAGTGTTTCTATTCATAACGCGAGCATCCCTACAATAAGCCGTTTTCGACACGGTTTAAGCCATAAATTTCTAAATTCAGCTTCCAATCCTTTCCCCGCAATACGAAAAACTCCAAACTCTGAAAAAACCAACAGCTAATTTCGTTTGGTAGAAATTTTATTAGAAGACCCAGTATGTTTGACACGAATGCAATGAGAGAAGTGACTTGCATTGCTTACACAACACAAGGGAGACTTTACAAAAGAAGCAAGAGATAGCAAAATAAGTAGCACAGGGCAACATGTCATCTAAACTGACAAAAAATTGGGGTTCGCCAATTTTCGCCTTATTAATAAAGATGAGATGACACTAATGCCATGAGCCGGTGAGAGAGAAGGGGGAAGGGGATGGTGGAAATGTGAAGAAGTGAAAAAAATTTAAGGGGTAAAATAAATTAACGATTTGTGAAATTTAACAACAGGTTCCGAAGAACCCCGAAGTATTGAACTGTATCAGGTGATTGGATTTGATTTAGAGCTCAGTGTGTCCCTCCTCATCGGCCTCCTCCTCGGCCTTCTCCTCCTCGGAAGCTCCAGCTCCGTCCTTTCCGTTGGTCTCGAGGAACTTGGTGAATCCTTCGATGGTACGGTCTCCGGTGTAATCGATGACCTTGGAGGATCCAGCTGGGAAGAACTTGATGGTTGGGAAGGATTGGATCTTGACGTCTTCGACCTGGAAATTTTATAAGTTAGAAACTGGAAGTCAGACCTAGAAGCTTCATTCAACTTACCTCGTTGAGGGTAGAGTCCATCTTGGCGATGACGATGTTCTCGTGGTCAGCGTACTTCTCTCCGAGCTTGTCCCAGGTTGGGGCCAATTGCTTGCAGTGTCCGCACCATGGAGCGTAGAACTCGACGAGAACGTTCTTGGTGTTGTCACGGGCGACTTGCTCGAAGTTCTTTCCAACGAGAACCTTGACGGCGTTCTTGTCCCAGTCCTCTGGAATGTCCTCGGACATAAGGTGTGGCTTGACGGATCCATCGAGGTAAGATTGGGTGAACTTGGAGATGTTCTCAGTAGTGATCTCCTCGAAGTCTGGCTTGAACTTGGTCATGTCCTCCTCAAGAGAGATAAGACGGATGGCTGGGAGCTCGTCCTTCTTGAGTCCGAAGAATTCCATGATTCTGGCGTTCTCCTCAACATCGGTGTTGATGTAGACGAAGAGGACCTTTCCCTTGAATTGCTTGGCGGCGTTCTTGAACTCAGTCTCGAGCTTGGCGAAGTCAGATGATTCCTTGGAGACGAAGAGAAGGTTGTGGGACTTGATCTCTCCTCCGAAGATAACGGAAGCAGTCTCTTGGGTGAACTCAGAGACGAGGGCAAGACGGTTGGCTTGAATCCAGGTCTTGAGGGAGTCTTGGGTGAGCTTCTCGTCGAAGGCAACACGTCCATCATCGAACTTCTTGAAAAGAACGATTCCCTCTCCCTTAAGCTCAATCTCAGACTTGACAGCGTCTTCGGTGGAGATTCCGAATGGAATATCGTCGATTCCGGCGGCAACCTCGAGGAAGGTCTTGGCGTCATCGGATGCGGTATCCTGAAAAGATTTTATTATTAAATGTTACAGTCGATCAATCATTGTTGCATAATAGTTCATTGGATCTTATCTAGTGCATTCCCAGGACACAAAAATCTTAGCACACGTCAGCACACCAACTGTTACCTAGTCCACGTCAGCATAGAAATTGCTAAACACTAGCGTCTCTTTACTGTACACACTCTCTCACTGACCCACGTCTTCGCCTATTATGGATGCGCGGAGATCACTCATACGCACACAAATCGGGTCCGAAAAGGATTACCGAAATCGGTCAAGGGCGCTCGATCCACTCGTTTAGTTCTTATTTCTTACCTTGAAGTATCCAATAACAACAACATCAGCAGACTCTTGGAGCTCCTTAACGGCGTCGGCGTCGTTGAGTGGCTTGGCGACTGGTCCGGTCTTCTTCTTCAACCAGGCGATGATAGAATCGTGGTCGCGTCCTCCGTTGTATTCTTGTGGCTTTCCGTTGCGGAAAAGCTTGAGAGTTGGGTATCCGCGGACCTCGAACTTAGACGAGACTTCTCCGTGGACGGTGGCATCGAGCTTTCCGAGCTTAATCTCAGATCCTTCCTCCTTGAGTTGAGTGGCGGCCTTAGCGTATTCTGGGGCAAGGGATTTGCAGTGTCCGCACCATGGGGCGTAGAACTCGACAAGGATGAATTCGTTTCCGTTGATCACTTCGTCAAAGTTGTCCTGGAAAAAAATATTGATTTGCTTTGAACGCGTTTCAGATTATTATTCAAGTTCTTATGCTGAAAATAAAGTTGTTTTTCACTAAGTCCAGAATACTATGCACCTATAATTAGAAGAAATCAAAACATACCTTAGTAAGAACGATGACATTCTCTTCTTCTTCAATGACGGCAGCCGAGGCGCCCAAGACGAGGAAAAACAGACCGACGAGCCGGAACATCACGATGAATAGTGAATGGATCGGGAATGTCCTCTTCAGCAAAGGATGGGGTGTCGACGCTTACTTTGTCGTGGAACACGACTATTGGCCCACCCCCTGCCCCGCCCACTTGCGCTCATTGGCCGTGCAGTTTGTGGCGAGCGGTGAGAGACGCGTTGCATACGACGGCAACTCACGTACACCGACCCCTCAGCGAAAGAAAAGGGACAAATTGCATCTTTTAGGAAAAGAAAAAAGTAAGACAAGGACACTGGGTCAACTGCATGGGGGAAAAGAAGAGAGAATAATGAATTGAGAATAAAATGAATAGAAAGTTAGAGTATTTTTGGGTCAACGGCATTTACGGGCAAAATGAATAGAGAGAAAGGGGAACTCGTCGTCGTCGCCGCCGCGCGGAATGACAAAATATGACAAATTGGATGGGAGAAGAGAGGGAGCGCGGGAACTACACTCCTAATGTAAATAATGCAGCAGAGCACAAATGCATAAATGACAGCATGTTTCCTGGATGGACGGCTGGCCGAGGTGTGAATGGTAGACACTGACACTATTATTAAGCATGTTCCTGTCATTAATTTTCCTGAAAAGAATTGCCATACTATTCGGTTTTCTGATCTTCGAAATTTCATTTATCATCATGTATAATTGTTATATTGCTTCTTTTTCTCCTTTTATCATGTTCAAATGCTCTGTTGTATGCAATCTGGTACCCAGTGTGTTTGAAATTATTTTTCCTAGTGCACACATGCAACGTCCAGAAGAAAAAAAAGAAAGAATTGGCATATGGTCCTTTCTTTTTTAGTTGGCTCAACCAGTAAACCAAGTAGTAGAGTAGAATGGAGAACAATAACAAAGCGGGTGTGCATAATTAATTTGGCTCACAGTAGGAGCTACGTTACTTGTTTTGTTATTGAGAAGTTTTTTAGGTTACTGATAGGGGAGAATAAATTTGGGCTCCGGGAAATTTTTTGACCGTGATAATTTAGGTGATTGGAAAGTTTTCAGCCTGCAAAAGCTATTTCACGGCTTGCAATTGTGTTTTTCTGGTAGGACACACTTTGATATGCAGAGCATTCCCAAATATAATTTTTCAAAACAAGATTTCCGATTTTTTAAATGTTCCATCACGAATAACATATTTAAAACTTAAAAATGTTTCATTTTACGAAACCAATCTATTTTCCTGTACTGTCACGGTGGCAAGATACCCTGAAGCCCTTATTTTTACTGATAAAAATTCATGAAGTTTCAAACAAATGAATATTTTTGACAGCGATTTAAAGACAGTGAGACACAAATCCTTTGAAACTCTAATATCGTCTGGTTTTTTTTCCAAACTGTTGTTTTTTTCAGAGCCCATTCTTTTTTTCAATCGTCTTTTTTATTTCTCTCCGTACTGACCTCCCATATCCATGTGTCATCTATACATCTCTCAATTGTCCAGCAATTGTCCTTCGTCCCGACTAAAGAGGTTCTTCTTTGCCTCATAACCCTACACTTCCCCCCCCCCCCCCCCATCTACTCGTAGCGTCTGCGTCCCTTCTCTCACACACTCTCTCACTAACAAAATGCGAATAGCGTCGCTCGCACGTCTCCTGCTCAACCAACTGCTATGACAGGCAAAACCTAGAGTCGTCGTTGTATTCGTTGTGTCAATCTCTCTGTCTCATCAATGTCTCCCACCATTGTTTTTTCTCCCCCCTCTCACCCTTCCCGACTATCCGCGTAAGCAAAAAATGGGGGTCAACTGATATATGTCGTCGCTCGTTCTTTATCTATCTCAAGCACCATGTCAAGGCCATCTTCGGGTCCTTTCTTTTTCCACGTAATCTCTTCCACGATATCTCATCGCATCCCCCGTATTGCGTTTTTGATCGGTAAGAATACCTGCCGCGCGGCCCGAGGTTATCTTATCTACTAGTCAAATCAGGTCGATTGGTTAGCCAACAGCACACAGATAAAATCCAATTGTGGTCTAAATGGAATACCTGAAATTAATGAGAGGGGAAGAAACCGAAAAACAGAAATTCACGGTACGCGAAACTTCTAGTACGTCACAATGTTTGTCATATGTGCTGAAGAGCGCGAGAGGGCACAAGATAAGCACAAACAAGTAGTGTATCGCAAACCACAAACAGTTCAATCTTAGATACTTTCACTTATCGATTTTTTTCAAAGTTTCAAGCTCTATATCAAGATGTCTGAAAAACCACCAAGGAGGTAAACATTTTCACCTGTTTATACCCCAGTTTGCACAACTAATCAATAGTATTTGTGTCTCTGTGTGACTCGAATAACACAAACAAATTGTTGCGAAACATCACTTTTTTCCTTTTGAGAGCATTTTCTGTCTAAAAAAATTCCGAAAAAGTGTCAGTTGAACAAACGATAGTTGTTTTGCTTGCATTGTGACAAATAAGATAGGCGAAATTTTTTAATAATAGGAATTTCGTAATAATTAGTTCCCATCCGACCAAAAAATAACACACTGTTGTTCACTAGTGCCCCTTTTTCCAGCTTCAAACAAAGCCATGTTTTCCGGTGAGCCCTATCCCTCGGGCTCAGCGGCCGCGGCTTCTGCCATTTACAGCAATGGTAATGCATACATTCGTCATCTATTTCAAGCAGCAGGCGCATGCTACGCTCTTGATGAGAATGTTTGTTGTGGTGTTTGTGTTCTTGAAGGCTCTTTCCAGCAACGCGAGCCCCTATAGTGTCCACTAGAGAGAACAAAGTGAGAGCTTCTCCCCGTATTCCCCGCTATTACTGGTTTGATGTCTGCTTCTTGCTAACACGACTGCAAAACGACTAACTGCTCGCTGTCGTTTGGTCATCGATTTTCTTCATGTTACGAGGCTCAGCGCATTCCAACATGAAACATGTTTTTGCCTATGGAACTTCTCAATTAGGGCTTCATTTTGCTGAATTCGAATGCTCAGCTACGTTTCAAACACTACACCGAATACAAACACACCTTCCCATCTTAGATATATCAACTCCTAAAACTGACATATTTACTACTACACAGATAAGATTTGTGCATCCATCATCCCCTCTTACATAACCGTCCTGAGATCTCACTATTTTCTATTATCAAGATGAATCGTTCCAGAATGAGCAACGTAACTGAGCAAGTGTCGAAGGCCGCTGAAACGGCTCGTGAGACTGTCGCCAAGGTTGGAGAATCGGTGTCGGACTTCTTCCAAGGAAACGCGTTCAACACCCCAGTAGGACGAAAAATTGGTGAGTTTTCATAACAATAGCGAAGTGTAGAGTTCTGATTGCTGCCAAAACTAACAAAAGCTTTCATAGATTCAAGTAGGTTCAGAAATAACATGCACTACGTCTCATGTATCCATAGATACTAGGCCTGACCTGAAAAATATGTCACATTTGGCTGTAATACCTCATTTTTGCCAGTTCTCCATAATATTATTGTTGATGGGTTGAACATCCGAACTTTTTCTTGAATAACAAACCGCCTCCCAATCCAATTATGGGTTCTGGAATTGAGTAAATTTATCTTCACCTGCCGCTTCTTTTCTTTCTGAGCGGCCAGTTTTTCCTAACCGTCCACACAATTATGCGTTATTTGTTTGGGAACTACTAAGGTTGATGACAAAACGCGTCGTCGTCGTTCGTTTTGAAGACGACGAATCCGGATTATTACGGATATATATTGTGTTGGGCACGTTCGCACTTGCGAAATTACACGTCGTCGAGTGACCAGTCGCAAAGAACCACCACGACTCTCCATCACCGGTAGAGGCATCTCTAGTTCTCTGTCTTTCTCCCACATATCCTTCCGAAAGTGAACCGGTTTCCAAAGGCGAGAAGAGGAAAAAAGATGAATTCGGGAGAAAACGGACTGCGCCCCTTCTAGTGACACGTCGACGTGTGTGAAAGAGGAACTGAAAACATGGAAGAAGAAGGAAGTGGAATATGGGAAAGTGAAGATTTCGAAATTAGAGGGCGATGAATTGTTGCACGTAGATTAGAAGGCAGAATGTGGTGAAAGTGGTTGCATGATCGATGATTATTTTCAGAACTTGCCACCGATGCTAACCTCCTGGCAACGGAAAACTGGGGACTCAACATGGAGATCTGCGACTTTATCAATGGGACTGAGGATGGGTTAGAAGACCAATGCGCTTTCCTAAGACTGAACAAGCCTTTTTCAGACCTCGCGATGCTGTCCGTGCTATAAAGAAGCGGCTCCATAACGCCATGTCCAAGAACAACGCGGTAGTTATGTACACCTTGACTGTTCTGGAGACTGCTGTCAAGAACTGCAATCACCAATTCCATGAGCTCGTTTGCAACAAGGACTTTGTCCAAGATCTTATTAAACTGATCGGCCCCAAATTCGATGCCCCACAAATCATTCAGGAACGAGTATTGAGCCTCATTCAGGTAATAACATCCTTTCGACAGTTTCAAAAGCAAATAATTGAAATTACAGGCCTGGGCGGATGCTTTCCGTGGAGACCCAACACTCTCTGGTGTTGTCCAGTCGTACGATGACCTCAAGAGCAAGGGAGTTGAATTTCCAGCTGCCGATTTGGACACTCTTGCTCCTATCAAGACACCAAAGCGCGTAAGTTGCTCGATATAACTTATAAATGTTGTGATGTATGTGTTGTATGGTTCAGACTGTTTTCACTCAACCACCACCACCAACTCTCGATGCTCAGGTACCACAACAGCAACAGCAACCAGCACCGAAAAGAAACTACGCTCAAGCTGTAAACCCGAACTCGGTTAGATATTGTTTTCGTGATTTGATGAGCTTTCTTAAAGCTGATGGTTTTTTTCAATTGTTTTTCCTAGATTTCAAAACTTATTTGAAACATCTGAAGAATCCATTAAAATTTTCTCTTCCAGACCTACGACGTGCTGACTATTCGTGAGACTGGGCAAGAGCCAATTGCTCCAAACTCGGATCAACTGACCAAGTTGCGTACCGATCTTGACGTCGTCAACCAGAACATCAAGGTTTTCCGCGAGACCCTCACCGACGTTGTGCCACGCAACGAGACAGCTGATGAGCTCCAACTCCTCTCGGATCTAAATGATACATGCCGCGCCATGCAGCTTCGCGTTTTGGATTTGATCCGATCTGTAAGCAGCGAGGAGGTTACCTGTAAGTCTTGTGGTGAAAAGTGTTTACTTTAGTTTTCCAATGTTTCAGATGAGCTCCTTATGGTCAACGACAACTTAAACAGCGTTTTTGAAAAGTACGATCGCTTTGTTAGTAACCGGAAAGGAGAACAACAAGCCGCCGAGGCAAGAGATTTGATCGATATTGGAGACGGAAAGAGCCTCGGAGACCAACTCAATGCAATGAGTAAGTCGAAAACTTGTTGAAAAACCACAAAATTTGTTTTTAGAGGTCACTGGCGCTACTGCTAGTCCAACAACCGCTTCCTCTTCTCAAGACGCTTACAAGGCGAACGCGGAGCCACAGACCGATGTGGGGTTGGCTGCCGCTGTGAGCAACAAGCTACCAACGGACAATGAAGCTGCTGAAATGGAAAACTGGCTTGATAAGCAAACCGAGAAAAGTATGATATTGTTTTTTCTGGAATCGGTTATTCATATACCTTTTTTCAGAGACCAAGGAGCAGGAGGAAAATGATAAACTGTAAATACAAGAACAGCCGGCTGTCTACTTCTGAAATCAATGTTGTGAATACTGTCAATTGTCATTCCCTTTTCTACTCCATTTTCAAAAATATTTATTCCATCTATCATCCATTTCCCCCTGTGTAATGAAAACGATTTTTGTGCAGTTATGAATATTTATATTACTCGCAATTGGGCAATATAGAGTGGGTATTAAAAAAATGTTTTTCAGATCATGGAGAATGACGATGCCATAGTGGGGCTCGGAAAAATCCGAGAAGAACTATTTTAGCATCTACCATCACAGTTGATAGCCAAAAATGATATGATGACTTTATTAATCTGATTTGAAGGTCTTTGTTCAATATCCTTCATTTCTTCAGTAACTTTTTTTAGAGTCAGTAGAAAGATTGGAGTTTGAACGGATATTGGCCACGTCCTGGTCGGATTTTACCTAAAAAAGGCTGTTCAGAGAGGCAAGGATAAGATTTTGGTTGAGAATCCACGAATTGAATTACTACTAGTACGGAAATTTTCTCATAAACTTGTCGGAGTTTGGTCGGTTTTCGTAGCGGTTTATCTAAAATCTGACCAATCTGGGATCAGAAGTGGCCGACGACGCCCAAGTAGATTTTTTGTCTTGTAATTGTCGTCGAATTTGTATCCATTTTAGTTGAAAAACAGATAGTATTGCAAAGGAGTTGACCGCTTCTCTGAATGATTTTTCAAATGCTTTCTAAACCAAATTCTGATTTTGTAATGTTGTGATTTGTAATGTTATTTCTTAATTCTCCGAAGTGATTTTAAATGAACATTTATAGTTCAAAATTAACTTAATTCTTTTGGTTATCATCAAATTTGCTCCATTGGCGGTGATCGACGCACTTTTTTCTGTAGACACCGCGCAAGGTGTATTACACATTGTGCATTTACGATCAAAATTTCCATGCAATTTTAGCTTATTTCTGTGCAGTTTTCATTTTAAATGAGAGAAAAATAAATAATTAATCGCAATGTAGAAAAGAAATCGGATCCGAAATTATTAGAAATATTCCAAAATCTAATTTCAAAACTTTTATAATCATGATTCAGAATGTGAATCCGAAATTTTTAGCTAATTGAAATTGTAATGTTTTTCTGCATCTTTTTTCTTTCTTTTTTTAGCGTCCATTCAAAATAAATCGCAACTTAAACCAAATTTATTTAATTACCTGTTTTCTGACCTAAAATATTCTGCAAACACGGCGCAACGTGTGTTACACACTGATCATTTACGACAAGCTTTTAAACGTAGTTTCAGATCATTTTTTTTTCGTAGTGAACCCAACGTTTTTTTTTTTTTTTTTTTGGAGCGTTTATTAGTTGAAATGAGATGATAATCAAAAAATTGCAAAGTTTAAAAGAAATGGATATTTTAGAATATTGTAGAATATTTTACAATGTAGTTCGAAAATATTTGAACTTAAAAATTCATAGTGAGTGTAAAATTTTTATCTGCTAAAAAACGGGATATTTTTTCCTGTTTTATCCTTAGTTTAAAAATAAAATAAAACTGGAACTGAGTCTATTCAAGATTTTGTTTTTTTGGCCTAAAACTTTCTGCAAATAACAAGTGGCGTGTGTTCCACACAATGCATTTAACCTGACGACAGTTGGTTCAGCGAACTTTTTTTAGAACATAACATTTAAGATTGATAGCCTGAATATCGAGAAATAACTGAATCAAAGACATTTCTGAATCGATTGCTCAAATGCGGAAAGTCCGAAAATCTGAAAACCTTTAAATTCAAACAAAAAGCGCTGTTCCCGCTCGAGACAATTCATTCAGTCTGTAAAAGACATTTCAAGATATATTCACAATAAAAAAGAGGGGTAAGAGCGGACGGTAGAAAATTCAGAATATAATTGGATATGTCTATTAGGTTGGCAAATAAGTTTCTTTCGATTTCGGCAAATTTTTTGATCACATTTCTCTCAAAGCGAAGGGTGATAGATTAATGAAAGTGGTGTCCATGAACATCGATAATTGTCTGCCAACATCCAGGAAATTTCTGGGTTCTATCGGTCCAGAACGAAGAGAGTTGCGATTGAAAAAGTAGGTCAACTCCTTGTCGTGCTGGAAGCAAACCTTGATCTCTTCTCCTCGTTTCTATTCTACTGCCAATTCTAATATTTCCTATAGTGCAGTGTACAAGGTGGCAGTTATAGTGGTACCTTCATATAAAAGTTCCCTGTCTCCATTCCTCTGACAGATCATCAAACAGAATGGATCCCCTTTTTCAAGGGAAATTTAGGTTTCGGGACGTCCAGAGCTAGCTGTTCTTTGGCAATCAACTGACCCTTCTGCACATTGATAGAGTAACTTACCCACTTCTCATCTTCGGTAAATAGACTATCGTGTGAAGGAACGTGTGAAGGAATGATAGTTGAAACATGCTTATGTCTACATGGTGATCCATACCATAGTCCTTCAAAACATGGGGGTACGAATCGACTCAGTTCTTCAAGTCGCCAAGAGACTTCAATCAGTTCACAATACTTGGCTGACTAATGTACAATGCCTTTGACATTTTACAAGTGGTTTGGAACGGACCCGCTTCAATAGTAATCTTCGATAGGTTCAAGTCCAACGTTTGGACTAAGTTCTTTCTTTCGATTCTGAATTTTTGGCTTCAAAACGATCAGTCCAATGCTCGATGGTAGGAACAGTAGGAGATCCTTCTTTATCTATTTCTTTCTATTTCTTGTCAAAATCACAGTTTTTCAAACCATAAAGAAATGAAAATAAAATAGCATTTTGAAAGTGTAGACGATAAGGGACGGTAGCAAGCGACATGCTCGCCAACGACAATAAGTAGGAATGAGGCAAAGTGTGTACATCAAGTCCGTGAGATACTCTATCTAACAAAAACACATCCGTCAAGAAAAACAGTCCCACTGACCAGATCTCAAAGTTGAGCATTCAAAATCGAAAGAAACTTATTTGCCAACCTAATATGTGATACAAACGGATTTAAAATATAAAACGGTTGGTAGACAATTCTTTTTTTTAAACGGTTAAGCTTTTTGTGGTAAGACTCGGGGATGAAAAATGACAATGTTACATGAGAGATGGTGAGGTGGTTTGTTTGTCGGGAAAGAAATGGTAACGCTGTAGGGAATTGAAAAAAAAAACAATTAAGAAAATGTTATTTCTGAAAGGGCGAGAAAAAAAATGTAACTAAAAATAAGTTAAGCGTGGTTTAGGGGGATTATAAAACAAAAAAATGAACAAAAAATGGTGAACTTTTCACCAGCGACGTTTGCGGCGTCTCTTCTGAGTGGTACGAATCGGTCCCTCCACCTCTTCTGGCTCGAATTCAGGAAGGCTTTCGAGGAGTCTGACATCGCGTAAATGATGTGTTTCGATGTTGTGATGGACGATGCGCTCCATGTAAGAAGCTCTGAAGTTGCATTCATCGCATTTGAGTTTACAAATCATCGGATTCTCATAGTGTCCGTCGCGGTGCTTGCGGAACTCAATGATGTTTTGATTTCTATATCCACAGTCGATGCACTGGCGCGAGACTGAAAAAAAAACGATTACTTGTTCAGATGATATAGGATTTCCCAACTTCAAAGAACCAAAACATTTTGCAGAAACTCACTTTCACAGTCTAGCTCCTTGTCCCAATCCTTTCGTGGGCGATTAAGACCAAAATCTTTATTACCAAAAAGACCCAATCCCACATTGTAACCACGCTGCAAACGTTGGAGTGGAGTCATTGAGTCGGGATCTGGCTTCTTCTTCGGTTTGAATGGTTTGCCCTCTCTCCACTTAAAGAACGTTCTCATCATTTCATCCACTTGGCATTCCTCTTGAGCAGAGCCTCGGACGTAAAATCGTGGACCAAATGAGCTAAGGTTAGGCTGGTCGGTGGTCGATGAGCTTTGTGCCTGATGGTCATCTTCAACTCTGTTATCCGAAACGTTGTTAGTTTCAGTCGGATGGTTGTCACCGACTTCAGCTTCTGGATTTACATCTTTGATTGACTCGTAGCTTTCCTGCTTCGCACTGGCACTCCGTCTGGATCTAGTGCGCGGACCATCACTGGGAGGTTGACTGGGCGCTTGCTTGGCTCTAGCGCTTTGCCTCGTATTTGGTCTCGTGTTGCTTTCCGATGCTTCCTTCTTGCTCGAATCGGTTGCTCTCCGTTTTGCTGGTGGTGCACTGGATGTGGTAGATTTTCTGGTGCGGAGAACACGAGTAGATGGTTCAACCTCCATCGACCTTCCACGAAGTTGACGAGTGCTCGGAGTTGACATCGGGACCGCTGGCTCTACGGTTCTGTTTTTCACTAGACTCATCTTTCTATAAGCATTGTCCATTTTGTTTTCGTAGTGAACCCAACGTTTGAACTGAAAAAAAGTTGTAAGGTTTTGAGATAATGTACTAATCACGGTTACCTCTGTTTCACTTTCTGGAATATCCATGTGAAGTTTGACGTGCTTATAGACATCAGCAAAATGGTAAGAACTGTACGAGCACTGGGTGCAACTCCAGGTCCGCCTGAATTCGTGCATGTGATGGCGGAAGTGGCGCTGGAGAGACGAAATATCCGAGTTGACGTAAGGGCACTGCGAGCAAAGAAAATGGATTTTCTTCTCATAGATCATTTTTTGTCCGTAGTTGATCATAGGTCCCACCATAAGATCCTTTCTCGCTAGCCACTTAACTGGTGGTTGAACGAGCGGGCCTATGAATCTGAAAAAAAATCAAATTGCAACTGTCAATTTTAATTCAACTTACCCAGAAGACGATCCTGGCAGCGATCCATTTGCTCCAGTATACATTGCTTGATTCTTGGTATCCTCGCCATTGGGATCATATTTCTTCCCCATGGGATGCATAGTGATGTTTCTTTTTTCGGGAGGGCAGCTGAGAAATGGACAATTTATCCATTTTCGGAAATTCTTAGATTCAAGCTTATACGTCTTATTAGATAATTGACGCTTCTCCCAGAGTTTTTTTACTTCCTTTGGAGCAAGATGGTCTGATTTTCGGTGAGACATGATGTGGAATGACGCTCGAGTGTGGTTTGCGAAACGGCTTGGACACAAGTGGCAAGTATAGGGAAATCGGTCAAGAGTGGCTGGAGATAGTGCACACTGCGTTTGATAGACGGCTTGCAGTTGTACAGGCTGTTCCGGCGCTCTACTGCGGTCTCTGTTTTGAGGTGCCAAAACTTCGAGATTCAATGGCTCTGGTTCTGGAGAATTGGGTGGATCTGGACGTGGAGATAGCTGTGGCACCGGTTCTGGAGAACCGGGTGGCTCTAGATTTAGATATTGTTGTGGCTCTAGGACTGGAGATGATTCTCGTTCTGGTTCCGGAGATAGTCGCGGCGCTGTTTCTGGAAAAGTCGGTGCATCTGAATACGAAGACTTTTGTAGATCTAGATCTGAAGAAGTCGGTAGCTTTGGGACTGGAGACAGTTGTTGCTCTGGCTCTGGATATAGTTGTGGCGGTGGTTCTGAAGAAGTCGGTGATTCTAGGATTGGAAATGATTGTCTCTCTGGCGCTCCAGATGTGGGTGGCTTTGAACTTTCATTCGAACCCGACTCCGAATTCGAATCTGATTCTGGAGCAGCAAGCATTGCACGTCTCGATTCAATCATGGCCGTTCTCAGCGTGTATCGTCGTCCAGGCTGGTGAGTTGTTGATAACGTTTTCCGAGGTGAAAACGGTGATGTTGGAACCGGAATTGTAACTTTTTGACGTTTTGGTGGAGGTTCTTCTGTTTTCTCGAATGGCCCATCCAGTGTGGGTGCATCATCAAAGAGCATTAGGGCCTCATCGTCGGATAGAGTTTTCTCAGCAACTGTTGATGCGGAGCTTGGCTTGCGTCTGGCAGCTTTTTTGACAATTCTAGAAGCTGTCAGGACATGTGGAGTAGACTCTTGGACGTCTGGAATAGTTGACTTTTCAGCAGGAAGAGTTGTCAGAACCGGCATATCTGTATAGATGGTAATTGGAAAAACTGGCTGAGCAGTGGCCGGGATCTTTGGAGCAGCTTCAGCAACCTTCTGAACCGAAGTTGGGGTTGTATCAACTGCTAAAGTCGTTTCCGTGATCTTATTTGCTGAAGGTGAAGCAGTCTTCTTTTTCTTGGATATGTCCTTCCGAACAATTGGATCAACAACCTGCTGTACTGATGATTCAGCGTGCTTACGCTTAGATGCTTTCTTCAGAATAGTTGGAGCAGGCTTGCCTGAAGGTAATGTTGGGCCAACATACTGATCGTTGAATGTGACCCTTCGAACTGAAGCGGCTTTCCCAGTTGAAGACGTGGCAGTTCCAACCTTCTCAACCTTAGCTGTGATCTTCGAAATAGTTGCAACAAGATTTCGGACTGCGGCTGTTTCAGCTTTCTGGCCTATAAGTGCAACTGTTGGAACAGATGGAGTAGCAACTTCCGTAACAATCGGAGCAGAACCTTTCTGAGCTGAAGATGAAGCAGTTTCCATTTTCTGATCCAGGATTGTGACCTTAGCAGTTGAAGCAACTTTCGTGGCTGTCTGAAATTTCTGATCGTTCGATGCATAATTCGAAGTAGTTTTAGGTACCTTCTGAGATAAAGATGTAGCAGCTTCGCATTTCAAAACATTTGATGCGACCTTATGAGCTGAAGACACAACTCCTTTTTGGTCGTTGGATGCGACCTTCGAAATAGGTGGTGACACCTTTTGAACCGATGATGCAGCAGCTTCAACCTTCTTATCCTTGATTTCGTCCTTCAAAGTGGGAAAATCCACCTCTTGAGCTGACGATGTTACTGTTTCATCCATATGCTTCTTCGATACGACCTCAGGAAAAAACAAAGCAACCTCCGGAGATGCTGGAGCAACTTGCTGAGCTAATGATGTAGCTGCCCCAACATCCTGATCGTCAGGTGTGACCTTCGGAATAGGTGATGACGCCATTTGAACTGAAGATACAGCCTTTTCATCCTTGATTTCAGACTTCGGAGTAGATGAATCCACTTTCTGAGCTGACGATGTTGTCGTTTCAATCTTCGTATCAGTAAGTGCAATTTTCGGACCATTCAGTACAACCTTCTGAGCTGCAGATGCAGCAGTTTCAATTAACTTCTTCTTGGCTACGACCTTTGGAGCAGTCGAAGCAAACTTTGCAGAAGTTGAAGCAACCTGCTGAACCAATGATGTAGCTGTTGTAACATCCAGATTATCGCGTGCAACATTTGGAATAGGTGGTGACGCTTTTTGAACTGACAATGCAGCTGTTTCAATTTTCTTATCCTTGATTTCGGTCTTCGGAGTAGCCGAATCCACTTTCTGAGCTAAAGATGCAGCAGTTTCGATTATCTGCTTTTCGGATGCGACCTCAGGAGCAGCCGAAGCTGCCTTCGGAGAAGTTGGAGCATTCCGTTGAGCTGAAGATGTAGATGTTCCAACATCATGATCATTGGAAGCGACTTTCAAAGTAAAGGGAGCAACCATCTGAGCTGAAGACGTAGGTTTTCCGATTTTCAAATCCTCGTATTCGACATTTGGTACAGTGGAAATTACTGTTTGAACTGAATCGATTTCATTCTTCTGATCCATGGGTGCAACCTTGAGATCAGTTGGAACAGCTACCTTGCCAACTGACGATGCAGCTGTTTCGATTTGCTTAACCTCGCTTTCGGCCTTCGGAGTAGGTGAATCCAACTTCTGAGCTGAAGATGGAGCAGTTTCAATTATCTGCTTCTTGGATAAGACCTCAGGAGCAGTCGAAGAAATCTTGAGAGAAGTTGGAGCAACCTGATGAGCCATTGATGTAGCTCTTCCAACATGCTGATTCTCGGAGGCGACATTCGATGTAGTAAGACCAACCTTCTGAGCTAAATATGTAGTTGTTCCACCTGTCTGTGCATTGGATGCAATCTTTGAAGCGTCGATTGCTGTTTTTGAAGTGTCAGAAGCAACTCCATTTCTTTTTGGAGTCGATAGAGCAGAAGTCATCTTCTCCGTTGATGGAACTGTTGAAACAACTTTTGAATCCGCTGGAGCCATTTTTGGAGTTGAGTACATTTTGAGATCTTCTTCCTCCTCTGGTTCCTCCTCTGGTTTCCTTTTTGGTTCCTCCTCTGGTTCTTCCTCAGGTTCTTCTACTGTAGGTTCTGCCGGTGATGAAACATTCACTTCTACTCGCTTCGCATCCTCTTTATTGGATTTAATTGATTTGACCGCAGTCGGAGTCGAAACCGTTGGAGATTGGGAAACTTTTTTCGCTGTTGGTGTAGATTCTGTAAGAGGTTTTGGTCGATTGAACTTCAGCTATTCTAGCTTACCTTTTGTAGCAGTACTAGCACCTGGTCGTGTTGCATTAGCCTTTGAAGAAGAAGAAGGATTCGCAGCTTGAGAAGATGATCTTGGAGTTGTAGTATTTGAAGTCGGCTCTCCATACTTTCCAGAAATCGAAATAAGTCTGCTAGTGAAGGAGGCAGATCGTAAAACGGGCTTTGAAGATTGCATCGCTCTGTTTGATACGACAGATCTTGAAGTCGCTTTGACTCGAGTTGGCAAAATAGTACTTCCTGATCGGGTAGAAATGTGTAAGGCAACATCCTGTGGAGTTGGTGTAGCTGTCTTTGAAGCAAATCCTGGCGTACGCTTGGGAGATGGAGATAGGGTAAATGTTTTTCTCGGCGGTGGAGTGTCAGCTCGTGATGTACTGCTTCTTGTGACGTGGATTGGAGTATTCACAGTTTGAGCAACGGCGGCTTTCGACGGAGTCCCGACAGTGACAGTTGGAGTCAATGCAGTTCCATTTGCAACAGTTTGTGCAGCCTTTTGTTCCTTTCCTACCATTTTCGAAGTAGTGGGAACAGCCATCTGAACTGAAGACGTAGATGTTTCCACTTTCCTATACTTAGATGCAATCTTCAAATCAGTAGAAGCAACGTTCTTAACTGACGAAGCAGCAATTTCAGAATTCTGATCCTTAGGTGAGACCTTCAGAGCAGCTGGAGCAGCAACCTTCTGAGATGATGCAGCAGTACTGCTTCTTGTGACATGGATGGAGACATTCACAGGATGAGTTACGGAGCGGTTCGATGGAGTCCCGACACTGACAATGGGAGTTGAAGTAGAAGATTGGGCTAAGACCGCAACCTTTGAAGCTGGTGTTGTTCGGCTCATAGTACTTTTCGACACCGGGAGTGCTGAAAAATCTATATTTTGAGAAAAATTGTTCAGAATCATCTTACGTGGAACAGAGCTCGACGCAGATCCATTTGTGGGAGATTGTGCAGCATGATCCTCCAACTTCCTTTTCTTGATTGTTCCACGTGTTCCGTAGTTGCTGAAGATATTGTGCGCTCTGGGAAGAGAGGAAGCCGAAGAAGCATGTGCGACCGAATTTGTGTTGCTTGTAACGACGTTGAGCGCTGTGCTGGCTTCAACAACAGAGGTTCCTGTGCGATCCGACGATGAGGCAGCAGATGTTCCTGGCCCATCAGTTGTAGAATCACCTGGAGTTCCTAGGTCATCTGAGGTGGAAGCACCCGGAGCTCCTGAACCAGTAGTATTCGAAACATTTGAAGTTCCTGTACCATCAACGTTTGTTGCACCCAAAGATTCTAGGACCTCATCAGTCAGCTTGAAATTGTAAGAAATGACTCTTCCACGCTTCCTATGACCCTCTTTGATATGTTTCAAAACCCATCCTTTCTTCTTGCTGCGGTAATGACACTTGCTGCAGCCGTAATGAATATTTCCGTGCGTAGCTACGTGACTTCTGAAGGCACAGGACTTGGTGAATACCTGATTGCAAAATTCGCATCGGTACTGATTTATCTGAAAAATGATTCATAAGTTTTCTGGAAACGTCACTAGAATCTCTATACCTCATTATTGGTTTTGTGTCTGGGGATCGACATCCTCGGATGTCTCAATGTTTCTCTGAAAAATTCAGAATTATATTTTCTGTAAGTGGAGAAGAAGAGAATAGCGAGAGGTGTTAGATCGAAAAGAGAATAGATTTTTGCAACGGCTGGCTGCAGCAATTCCCGCGCCAAAAATGCCTGCGTCTAGAAAACGACCACAGTCTCTGATATCCCTTTCAAATCAACAACAGTTTGCTGTTGGCAACGACGACGCGGCACCTCATAGCATATGAATAGAATATAGATGGCTATTCGTGATAGAACGGGTGACAGGCAACGAAAAATAGCGCAGAGCTGATTACTGTTTGAAGGAGTAATTAGACCTACAGAGACAAGGGTTAAGCGCTGTAAACTGCATCGGATAGATACATAGAAGCGGAAGGATACTGTATTCTAGGCGCAAAATCTAACCTAAAGTAAGGTCCGATGACTGAGAATCGAGTCTTTTCATTAATAGGTTTCAACGGGTCCCTCGCCTGGCATCAGCCGCTCGTTTTAATTCTCTGCGAGAGATGCGGAAAACAGAGTGCTGCTCAGAAATCCACTGAATAAGCTTTGAAAAAGAGACGCAGAGCAAGAAAAAGCAAAAGAAAACCGAGAGAAGCGCAAAAACGCGACGAGCGAGAGCGAAGAAAGAATTAGAAATGGCCTAAAAAGAGTGCGGAAAGGCGAACGCTGCCACAATAACAGTATGAGAATGCGCGGGGTCCCGAGTGGAACAGAGAGGGAGGAGAGAAGGACGCGTCGCGTGCCGCGTGCGTGCCCTGAATATTCCACGCACACAAGTCTGCGGCACCGACCGATGGGGCACACGGGGTTGTTTTCTTATGTATGAGTGTATGTGTGTGCTGAGTATGAGCGAAGAGTGCATCGAATGGCATACAGTTGTTATTGATTTTGAAGGACGGAGTGAGAAAAAGAGGGAGTGAGGAAGGGGGAGAAACACAGAAAACAACAACAGCAGCAGGCGAGATTGTATCATAATTGTATCATTTGACTGGTGGAAAGTGAAAAAAAAATGAGGCGGGTTGAAACCTATAGAAACGCGTGCCATTCTCAATTCAAAAGAGATTGTTATCTAAACATCCTTTTCATTTACATTCTTCTTCTAGAAAAATCAAAGAAAAAAGTTTATTATAAGAGATAAATATACAGAGTTCAGCACATTCTTTTTGTTTATATCAGCCGATGCATCCGGTTCCTCACAATTCGTATTGCTCGGCGTCCAGTAGAACGCAGCGGAGTGTCTCCACGTTCCTCGCCAAGAACATGCTGTACTTTTTACCTCGAGAATCGTCCTTCTGCTTTCCATACACGAATGGAAAGCCACCTGGAATACAAACACTTGTCAACCGGGCCAGCTCATAACTCTCTCGAAAATTAAATTTTTTCATCAAATTGAAAATCCCAAAAGTAGACATTGACAAGATCTACAAAAATATATTTATTTATATTGCGGTGGCAGACAAAAATACCGTTAACACTCTAATAGAATATCACCCCAACTATGAACTTTGAGCCGACTTATCCCACTTCATGCGATATCAAGAATTAGTCAACTAATAAATTATTTATCATACTATGGACAATATTTTATCTATTGACAAAATTTTGATTTCTTCCACAGAAATCAAAATAATTGAGCTTAAATTTAACGGTTTAAGGGATTTTCTACTAGAATTTTCAAAGCATACTTTTATGACAGAGTACAAGTTGTGGGTATGGTAGAAATGCCGTTTTTTTTTAATTTTTCGAGGCATGTATCTAATTCTTATCAACTTCTAGCCCAGCTTTTTGGGTTTTATCAGAATACAAACAAAAATGTTATCATTCCAGTAGAACAGTTGATAAAAGTGCTTCAATCAGGACTCAAAATTTCTGAAACTCTAGTTTCTTTGACTTACCCTTGAGAGAGTAACAGCTTGTCTCTAGGTCACACTCGAGAACGATATCACACTGTACACGGGTTCCGGATCCGATGATCGGAAAGGAAACGAGGAGTAGAATTTGGAGAAGAGAAGAGAAATTCATGACTTCAGTAACTGAGAAAGCTGAACTTTTCGGGAAATGGACGAGTGGTACCAAAACCATAAAATCTCTAATCTAACTAAGTAGCTCCTGAAGAAGTAGGCGTGGACTTGTCGCTTTTAGGGTGATAGTATTCAGATGGACAACATGAGAAAAAGTTTATGAGTGGAGAGTATGGTAGCACTTTTGTTGGATTGGGAGGTCTTTTATAGTCTGTTGGACAAGCCTCCGTGGAAAAACCAAGTTGGGCATGTTCAGGATTAACAGCGAGTAGTGGAAATGGGAGAGATGTACCTGGAAGATTTTATTCAGACGAGGGGTCGAAAAGTAACAACTGAACCAGAGAGAAATATAAAATATAGAAAATCATGTATTTCTAGAATTTCCGAACCATTTGAACAAAACATTTTATTGAAAAGATATTAAACATTTTCAACTGGGAATTTATAAAAACACACTTGAAAATGAAAGGTTTGATAAGTCTTAATGAATTTAGTTGAAAAAGCTGAAAATGTCAAATATGTCTAGACAATGAGTCGGTCAAATGCCGGCGTTTGAAAGCCATCGAATAACTTTATTTTTTATCAATAAGTTTGTGTTTTTTTTCGGTATGGCTTTTGGAATATTCTTGCCAATTGGGCCAACTCAACCCGATTTCTGGAAGGTCCATAACTTGCTTCAAACTTTGAATTTGTTCAAATCAAAAAAGAGTAGAACTTGACCAGATCTACAAAGTAATACTCCGAATAGATTCAAAATATACGAAAACTTCAAACCAGCGATAGTGATTCAAAAAAGTTAGACCTAGTGGCGCCGGCCTGGCTTATTTAAATTATTTAAATGTTTTTTTTTTGAAATTTGCTATTCATTTCGTGGATCCATATCAAGCATACTTGCAAAATCAGGGCGCGGCTCGCGGGCCGGGCCAACAATTTCCAGGGCCCGGCGGGCCCGGGTTCTTCATATTTGAAATTTTTTTCAAATTTTTTTGTAAAATAACTATTTTTTATGGACGCTCTTATCTTGAAATTTTTTTCTTGTCAGAAAAATTGTCCATTCTTTTCTGTTGACCCTAAAAAAATTTCTGAAAAGACAGAAAAATTTTTTATGATATCAAGTTCTGAATTCAATTTTTGATTCTAACAGATACTCCAATTTTGAACCAAGTTATGCGTCGATTTGTGATCGCTCCGGTTGATAAGCAAAACCTAAAAATCATGAATCATTTTGAAAATTCCTTCACGAACTTTCATGATTCTCGAACAGATTCTCTTCGTGATCTTATAATCCTTGACGTTCGCTTACAAAAAAAACGCATCCCTGCCGTTTTGTACCGAGTTTATCTCATACAATCACACTTCTCTCCTACATTCCGCGGTATTTTGTTTGAATTTTCAAAACATCTTCGTCTCTAACGACGTGATAAATATATCATATCTCCCATGCAAGTCTCCTCCCATCGGATTCTATATAAAGCTTATCTGAAACTGCGTATTTCAGATTTTATTTTCTATTCGGTCGGAATGGAGCAGAACCGCGTTTTTGCCGAACATGTCATTGACCAGAATCTCCCACCAGAACGCATTCAAAGAGAGCAAGAACCGGAGTTCATAAATGTAAGTAAACATGAAACGTTTCTAGGTCATCACTGATGCGATTACAGGGCGTCCGTCCAACCATGTTTGCCATGGCAGCTCTTCTTTTTGATCTTGTTCCACCTGGAGACTTTCTGTTCCTCGACGACAATGATGACGGCGTCACCGCTGTGCTCTACTGTGAGATCAACCGGAGCTACTTGTGTGTTATTTACCAAAAGCATGGACGCTACACTCACTATCGTCATATTCCTGCTCAACAAGCCATCCAGAATAATTGATGAATTTTGACTTTTTCGATTGTGATTCAAAATTCTGATCGGCATAAAAACCTGTGCAAAATAAATAATTTGAACCCTGGATTTAAACATTTAACAAATTCTGGAAATCAAGAAATCCAATGAAATATAACACGATGTTCATATACTTTATTTCAACATCTTATAAGCCCAACGGTATTTGACACAAAGTCGATTCTCAAATCTTCCAAAAGGTTTACAACGAGATTCTTCGGGAATATTCGTCTCACTGACTGGCGAGTCGAAATTTAATTTGGTCCTGAAAAAATGGGTAAAACTTTGAGATATAAATTAACAAACTTACTCTGGCCCAAATAAACAAACGATTTTATCCATGAACCGCTCGAAACCTTCACAAATATTTATGCCGCACCCAACAAAGTACTGGACCGGATTCAAAACCTCAGTGAACCAATATTTCTGATCTCGAAACATTTTGATAAACTCTTCACGGTCATCTTCGGGATGTGTGCTGTTTTGATTCCCCCAGTAGTGAAGAAAGTTTGTGAGATTTTCTCGTGTATGATATTGATAATATACTCGAAAATTCGGTTGAGTCCCAAATCCACAGAAGAACGTTCTAGCTTTTTCTTCGAGATATGGGCGAACCTTCTGAAATTTTTCCAGATACTTTTGAAATGTTCAGGATGAGATCTTACTAGTTTCCACATACTGAGACCTTGTAAGTCGGCATATGATCTTCGCGCATTGTTCATTGCGTCGTAGATAGTTTGATTTGCTGATACGGTAGCAATCCAAAACGAAATTCGGAGAATAACCATCAGATTCATTTAGGAAAAATGATTTCTTTTCAAGAGATGAAGATGGGTTGAAAAATCATTAAACCTTAATTATACTTCCAGGTAAATATGTACGCCTTACGGCTGGTCTATGAACTTTTTAACTTTATGAAAAATATTCCAGGATTCAAAGTATTTTTTTTTCATTAAGACAATGAATAGAATGTAACAGATATATTGACGGTTATAAATACCTATAATTTGATGCCGGGGAAGATGTCAAAAAAATAGTCAACTGACAACTCGTTTATCATAAAATTGAAAGTATTCCGCCATTTTACCACATTCTGACATCTCTTACCGGGAGCGAGATAAATTGGCTCCAAGTTGACGGTAGGCTTACATTAAGGAATGATACGGGAATGAAGAATGATACATGAATGTAGGTAGCAAGGCCGGAACTATAGAAAACAAAAACGCATATGAAAAAAATTAGCGGTGCCAGGAATCACAATAAGTGTCCAGTCGTAAACGACGAATACGTTGTCGTACTCATCGATCATTTTGGATGACACTTCATATTGTCCTTCATTGTATGAACCTGAGATATTGAATTATATTATTTTTCTTAGAACCCGCAGTCTGTACCCCATGGAGATATCTCATGTCGAGATTGGTAGATCTGGAGTTCATTTGAAGGAAAGACACATCCGATGTTATAAGTGATTCCTACAAGGGAGTTTTGACCTTGTTTGACCGTATGAACGTATCTAAAAATAATTATGGAAAAGTCTAAAATCTAATTTCTTAATTAAGACCATCGATGCGTTCTCTCTGAACATAGAACGAGCATTTGAAATAGAAGTGTGTTGCCTCCTCCATCCGAACAGTCAGATAAAAATTTCGTTGATCTAGCGAGCTTTCTCCAATAAAATGCAATTCTAGACTTTTGAAGAGCAACCGGGAGGGATTGGTTTTGCTCAGAATCACACCAGTTTCTGGCCAGACATACATTTCCATTTTGTTGTGATCCACGTGGAAAATACTAGCAAGCGTTCCATCTTTTCGGCAAATATCGTATCCAACTTTAGTTGTGTGAAAACGTTCGTCAGCATGAACATTCACAGTATCGAATTCTCTTTTGGTTTTCACATATTTCAATCCGCTCAAAACCGACTCTATATTTTTGTCAGGTCCGAAAAGCCGGGGATTTTCCATTTGCATCCATTCAAGGTTACTGTCGTTGTCGTCTGTCCATTTTTCACAGAATGTCCTCATCATCCTTTTCGTCCAATAGGATTTGCAGTAAACTTTTCTGCTTCTCATATTTATGACGTCTTCGAGTGAGACCGGAAAGTTGTAAAGAATAAAACGGTCGAACTTTCTTGACATCCAAGCTTTCCTCTGTTTTTGCAGTTTTTTGTGGAGTGTTTGATTTCTTGCCACTGACTTGAAGGGGTCGAACGAAATGCAAAAACTGTTATTTGGAAGAATATACTCGATTATCTTCCGAACAACACCGTAAATGTGTCTGTCGTGTTTGTCGGTTAATTCGTCAAAACTGATTTCACTGATTTTCACTGGACGAAGAATATCGTGGAGTTTCCATATGTGGCATGGTAGGTCTCGCAGGGCGAAAATTATACCGTTAAGTTTTACAATTCCACGTACTTCTTGAGCCACTTTTATGAAGTTGTTGAAACTGCCGGTTGGATTATCCCAGTACTTAGTGAACGTTCTTTCTGTTCCTTCTTCATTTTCCAATCGTTTCACTTTGATATGTCTTCTTCCCGGTAAACTTCTGTTAGGGAAGTCACTCATTTCATAGGGAGACATTGAAAACGAAATATCGTCAACTCGCAATTCCAAACTTCCATCAATTCTAATAAACATCAATCGAAGCGGTTTGTGAGGGTCATTAATCATGATCTGTCTAGCTTTCCAAGAAACCATCGAGAAAGACATTCTGAAAATGTGCATAAAGAGAAAAGATGTTGAGAAACCAGTCAACAAACGAACCGTTCCAAAAAAGTCAGATTCAAGAAGATTGTCTGGATTATTATGTCTGGAAGGTCGAGGATAGTTGTAGGGTTGTCGGGTTCATCTTCATTGGGAGGATCCATTGGACACAGAATATACTGAAAAATGGGTAGTGACTAACAATGAAACCTCAACAACTTGTATACACAAGTTTTGATAAACATTTAAGGATAGGTTATAGCCTATCTAAAAATTTTTGAAAATTTTAGAATCCATGCCCCAGTTTCAGTAGAGTAATATCAGTTACGAAGCAACGTGTTTTCAGCGAAAGACAGCAACTGAAAAAATATTTTCCTAATTTCTAGAACTTTTTAGAACATCAAATTTGCTGTGTTATACTCAGAATTAAATGACATTTTATATTTCAGACGCTTTCTCAAAATTACTCCAGAATTTTCGAACTATCCAACCACTTCTTGTATAGAAAAGAAAAGAAAATTTTTGAAATGTAAAATGTCATTGAGATCTAAGTATAGAACAACAAGAAATATTTTGTTTTTGCACTGAAAACGCGCTTTTTTGGAGTAGGAACTGATGTAACTCGGCTGAAACTGGCGATCGGATAATTGAATAGTCAGAAATGTCTTTATAGGTCAGATATTGTCAGAAATGTCTAGATAGGCTGATCTTATCCTATCCTAAAGTTTTCATCTCAATTTGGATTTAAAAAATATTGACCTTTCCTTGTAAGTAAGAATACGACACGTGAATCAAAACCAGACAAGGAAAAATAAGAGAAAAGGAAAAAAGTTGAGCGCATCTGTCAAAAAATGGATGAAAAAGTTTGATAATATTTTTACTTGTTCCTGCCCCTGATAATGGGATACTTTTGCGATAAGAACTTTTTTCGTGATTTCACAAACAAAAATCGAAACTGTTGATGAAACGAGTATGATCACAAGAACATAGGTCTTCACTCGTATAGTAAAGAAGGCAGAAGTAAATTAAAACGCAAAAGAGCGACGTCCTCCACCAGTACTTGGCAGGTTGCCATGAGGATATCAAGTAAGAAGAGACGCAGAATCTAACTCCGAAAAGATTCATCTTATGATCTAGCCACAAAGTATAAATCGGAGAAATCGTTTGTGCTTACTGTAACGAGAAAGTGTGTAAAAGAGAAAACATTTGGAGGACGTGTGACACAATTTTCGAAATACGAAAATTTGTGAGCTGATGTAAGGAGATAAATCCAGCAAGCTTGATAGGGAAAAACAGAAAAATAAGGAATGTCATGATAATTATATGCTTCAAGTTGAGATGTTTTGAAAACAAGAAAATACGAAAAGAGCGTGATTGTTGGGGCTACTCACCTCTTTGAGAAAATGAAAATTAAAATGGGGAAAATAAAATTTAGGAAAAAAAGGTTGACAACAAAATAGCCAGTCATATTTTTCAAATCGATAGGGTTTGCGAAGGAGAGATTCCAACAAAACTATCGCTTGGAATCGCAATTGTAATGATTTTTTTTGTCTCGTCATACAGTTTAGGTTCGAGTGTAATATTTTTAGATGTTTCGAGATGACACAAAAATAAAAATAGCCTCAATTTTTTTTTGTGATTAGCAGAACTATAAGTCGAGAAAAATTCCGGAAACGGGAAGTTTTATAAGACAAACGTCTCTCAGACACTTTAATAGGCTCATGCTTCAAGTTTTCGACTGAAAGAAAGTGTGAATTGGAGAACTTACAATAGTGAAGACAACAAAATGATGGGATATGGAACAGAATGGTGGACCAGTACAAAATACAAAATAAGAGCTATTCAATTATATATGATTCCCGTCATAAACGGTGAAAACAACGGGAAATCTCTCATATTACTGAGAAGGACTCTGATTATACGCATTCTACAACATCTCTCGTTTTACTCATGTGACGCTTCTCATGAGAACTCTGATTCATTGTATTTTGGGTTTTTATTAAGAAGGACTACCATAAAGTTCTGGAAAGTGGGAATACAGAAAATTATCAGTTTTGGTTCCTTTTCCGAAAAAAATTGTTGAGGGACCTAAGTTCCTGGAAAAAGCTGTTCTCTATGGAAATTGTTCCAAACTTTTGCATGAATCTGAAATCACTTATCATCAAGTTTCCCTCATCACTCCACTTAACAACGCTGTCTCTATGCCGATTCACAACTAGCAAAATTGACAATTCGATTTATCGCGAATTTTCGAGCCACTAAACAATTAATAAAATTCCAACCAATTGAATAAATACAACATTTTCAGTTTTGCATACCACTTCATATGGAATCAGCTTGGAGAAAAAACACAACACACAATTAGTGCCTTCTGTATCAATCGATTAAATACAATTGAACAACTTTTTTTTGATTTCGGTAAAACTTTTTTGGATAGCAGTGAGAGGGAGAAGGAGAAGTCATTTTCAGAGTGATGAGACGAATTGCAATGGTATAAATATTATGGGGGAATGACCAGGATTTGAGACATATTTAATCCTTGGTAATGTGAAGCGTCCATTGCCAGTCAAGATAGACGTTTTTGTCATCATCTGTGATTTTCGAGTGCACCTTGTACTTTCCGCGATGGATCATTCCTGAAACAAGATGGTTAGGATTGAAAAATGATCGAGTTTATTTAATACCCGATGGAGCCTCCTCATTTGGCGACTTGTAACCCTGGATTTCTAGCTTTGGAGCATAGCTTCCCATCATATACTTCTCGTTTTCAACGGTGATTCCCGAACGCTTCACCTTGTGCTTGTAGCTTTAAAATTGTTGATTATTCAGAATGATTCAGTTCTTGATATTGCAAAATTTGCCAACAACTCTAAAAAATGAAGAAAAAAACTTACTGAAGTCCAGAAGTGATCTCGCGCTGGACGTGGAACGCAAAGCTGAGACGATAGTTCGATCCCTCTTTGATGCTAACCGACAAATCCGAATTCAAAAGCTTTGCTGGATCAGACAAGTCGAACGATTGAGCAGTCTTTTCATCGATAAGGAGCTCCACAGAGCGAACGATGACACGTAATGGGTTCTTCTCGTCGACAATAACGACTCCTTGTCCGAGAAGTTTCTCCTTGTAGACCTTGAGTGACTCGTCTTCCTGGAACGTTGAATGGTTTAGTAAAGTTGGACTCTAAGGAATCTTCCTAAGATCTCAATTAGGATCTTTCTAGAAATTCTTGGACAAAATCAGCCCTTGAAGATTAGTTGACAGTTGGTACCAAAGTCGGTAAAGCTTCCGAGACCTGAATCTTATCAATAGACTAGTCAACTGAATCTCCAGTCTTTTTTATTAGCTTTTGGGGCCTGGATGAGATATTGCAGATCCCAAGACTCGGTTACAGTGGTCTGTTTTTTCAAAGTGTTCAGTTTTTTCTCTCAGTTCTCATGACAGACTTTTCTGGCTTTTTTCTCCTATATATTATTTCACACACAGTTTTTCTTGACAAATAGGATTTCTCATGTTGCGATCAAAGTATCTCATGGGAATCTCGATTCTGTATTTGAGAATCGATGAAGATGATCACATGATGTCAATGGACAGAAATCTATTAAATCCGTGTTTTGTTCGAATGTCCCAAAAGTATCGAATTCATCTCCTACCTGATCAGCCTTGAGCAGCTCGTCGATTGTCTTCTGTGGTGGTTGCTTGTATTGGAACTCGGAAGCGTTTTCAGCGGCATTCTCGTGATCCGACATAATTGAGTATGTAGACTGGAAAAATTTGAAGATTCGGTCTTTCGAAAAGAAAAGAACGCACGAAAAGAAAAAAAGTGAAAAAATTGAACGAGAATCAACCGGGAGAAAAAAAGATTGGGGAGGAGACAAAATGAGGTGCATAAAGAGAATACGAGCATAACAATTGCAATTATAGGCGACTTAGTGGCAGGCAACGAAACTAAATAGGTACCTACGGAGGCCAAGGGCGTTTCGACCGGAACAGAAATTTTCAATATGATGGGAGAATGGAATGGGGACTGGAAAGAAGACGAATTCTGAAAATTGGTAACTTAAAATTGAAGGAAAGGGGTCGAACGGTGCCAGCATGTTATCGCTGTCTTTTTCTGCTTCTGTTCTTTTTTTTTAGCTCCACCCACTATCTCTTTTTCTTCTTCTTCTAACTATTGGCAAAAACGATTTGGCTTCTTCTTCTCTGTCTTTTTTATGCCAATGCTTGATGGCTAGATCGGAGGGATTGGGAGGAAAAACGGGATTTATGCCAATTTAAAACATTTCGACAGAAGATGAACGCATACTAATCGGAAAAGAGAACTAGAAGACGTGCTATGAGGAAGGAAATGGTTGAAAACTTTGGTTACGAAATTTCAAATATGAGAAAACATGGTGAAAAATATCAAAAGTCAAATGATTGGGGGGAAAAATTTCTTCAACGTCATTTAAAACAATACACGCTATCAATTGACGCGCTATCAACGATTCGTTACTCTGGAGAAATGCATTAGATGACTCATGATACTTGCTGTGCCCAGCGAAAAAAGGAAATTGGTATGAAGAAGAATCAGAAAAGGAATACAGGAACGAGAAGTGATGAGTAATGATAAGATTCCAAAAAAGAAGAACTCAAAGTACAAAATCCTCAGCAGGGAAGCTAAAATCAGATCATGTCAAATGCGAGACAGCTGTTCGCCTTTACCCACAGGAGACACACACAACAACAGACAAATAGATACAGTTCGAGAGTGAGTGGCTAAGTCGGCCGAAGTGAGCGTGAAAAATTGTGATAATGAGTGTGTGGAGTGAAACACACACACTCACACACAATTTGTGTGTGAGAGGATGTTTGTGAAGAAAAAATCGCTGGATTGTGAGACGCAAACTCAACGAGACGAAGTTAGAAATATGTCAAAATCGGGAATTTTGTTCTGGGAGCGCTCCGAGAATTGCACACTGATTGCTGAGAGTGTCAGAGGAAACGAGAGGAAAACGAAATGAAGTCGAAAAACTGAGGCAGCAACATTAGCCGAGAAAATACAGTTCTCGTTTGTTTAAAGTATTTGAACGCGGTTAGTTTATGGCGGTTTTTGTGGGGCGAAAGGCGCTCCCCGAGTAACGATGAAGTGAAGAAAAAGAAGGTATTCCAGGGGAAAAAAGAACGCAATTTTTTTCAAGGTAGAGCATTTACTAGACAAAAAGAAAGGTGAAAGTCGGTGAACCGAGAAAATTTTGGGTCATCTGCCAATTCTTTGGGCAAAAATTCAAAAAAAAAAAACGAAAACAAAATCTTTTTCTAAATTACTCCCGAAAAAACCTAACTATTTTCTAGGCTGGCGCTGATCAGAAAACCAGATAACAGGCAATTCCTCTCTAAAAAATTTGAACAAAGTGCATAGAATGGCCGCTCAAAAGGTATCATATTGCATCTAAGGGGATTATTCCTTCTCCCTCTCTCAAAATTGATTCTGCTGAATGCCACCGACGAAACAATCCTAATCTTGCTTATTCTAGACCCGCCCATTCCTTAGAGAGCTCAGGTTTTGCGAGCTCCATCTCCTCAATGAATCACGAATTCAATACATTTTTGAGAAGGGACTATTGCGTGAAATTTGAGAAATATAGAGCCCAAAAAAGATGGACTCTTGGAGTACATCCCATTCTTCTTTTCTGCGCGATTGGTTTTGAATGGGAATTTCAGCCTACACACCTTGGACGATGACATTTAAGAAAAAAGGAAAATCAGCAAAAAATAAAAAAAAAGAACTATCGTAATCTTGTTGGATCAGCAGAACAGACACAGTTTGTGAATGACGTTAGTGGCAGATGAGCACGGAGAGACAAAGTTTTCAAAAGGCACTGACTTGGCTTTCGTTGCCATCTGGAGGATGACCCCGTCTTAAGAAATATGAGACCAGATTTTTTTTTCACATACACAGAAAAAGAGAAAAAACTTCTATCAACTAATGAACAGGGACAATGGCAAGGGAGAAGCAAGAATTAATGGAATCACAACACCTCGAAAGTTTCTGGGTCAACGAAACAGAAAAACAAAATAATTCAAAGTTTAAACAAGGAAAAATGTTTAGATTACTAAAAGAAATCGAATTTTAGATTACTTCAAAGAAGCACAAAAAAAACCAAACCAGTGGTTATTTTTTTGTATTTCATTGACTCGTCTGATGACTCTATATTTGCTCAACGTACGGATTTTTATTTGATGTGAAATTTTTTGTTTAATCTTTTTGCCCAATACATTTTACACTGTTCCGAAAGTTTCCCGATGACGTTAGATGTCCTTGACAACACACCCAGAGAACGGTTCAATATTGTGTCTTCCGATTTTTTTTGCGATTCTTCTTTTTCTTCAACAATTCATCTATTTATGTCCCATAATATTATTATTTTTAATACAAGCTGTCCTTGTGCTTGCACTATACAACTCATGTTCTCTCTCTCTCTCTCTCACCCACATTTTGCGCTTTCTCTCTCTCTCTCCCTCTTTTCTCTTTTTCTAATATTCTCTTCAATTCTATTGGTTTTCTCTCTATCTCTTGTTTTCGGTTGTCAGCTTGCTTCAAGCCACGTGGGAATGTTGTATTAGCTCAACCCATTTCTTTCAATTCTTACAGTTTTTTTATTGCGAAATATATCATCTAAATTCAATTTCAGGTTGTAAACCCAACGCTCATCCTCCTAATTTGGTATTCAAAAACGTGGCCGCAACGCATTGAGGTCTTGCGCGACGCGGCTATTTCTCTTTTCTTTTCATTCGTTTTCCTTCACGGAATATATATAAAAAAAAAGAGAGCGAGTAGTGCGAGGAAGGCTGGGTGATGGCAAATAGAAACACGAAAACTAGTCACCCAAAAAGCTATGCCATTACAACAGACGCACCGAGAAATGAAGAGTCGCTCTGAGAAGAACTTCATCTAAAGGACATTTTTTCAACACAAATCATCTTCTTCGTTTTTTTTCTCAATCAAAATTCACCGCCTTCAAAATATATCAAAAAACAATGGAAATGGACGTGTATGATGAGTTGTTAGCCGCAGCGCTGTTCATCATTTTTTCAACCTTTATGCTATGGGTATTTCGAAAACTATGGGCAGTTCGGAAGAGGAAAACTATCAACGACACATCTTCGAAAAGTGAGTTTTTAAATTTAAAAAATTGAGAAAAAAATGTCAAAAAACCGGACAAACGGCTGAAAAATTATGCTCATTAGGAAAAAAATTGAATTCAAACTGAAAAAAGCAACCAAGGAATTAGACGTCCTGGCAAAAATGCATAAAACTAATCTCGGGTAGCCGTACCTCATATACCAGATTAGTAAATCTCTCTCGAAAATGTTAAAAAAGTATTTTCTATGGCATCTAAAGCCCTATAGAAATATGTTCTTTTCGATTCCTTTTTAATAGAAAATGACTTTGGTGCATTTTTTGTTCCGTATTGAAAAATGGTAGGGAGTAGGAAGCTAGTCTATCTATAAACAGTACAAGCCATCCATTAATTTGATTATTGCTACGTATTTCTCCCAAATTTCGACAAAAACAATGCCTTCCGGTCTCTTAGAAACACTAATATGTTCTCGTTGTAACAAAAAAATAAGCGAGAAAAAAACAGCAGTACCTAACATCTGTGATCGCCGAGAGAGAAAAGAAATCAAAGAAGAAAACTACTTATCAGTGATCGGAAACCAACTAACGAACTTCTCATTGTAGGCGGACACTACTGGAGCCCTATCGAACATGAAGAGCAACACAACTACTGTTCCGGATGTAAAGAGCATATCGTATCGGGTTACGAATGTGATAACTGTCTTCTTAAAGTGGATAATGTAAGTTTTTACTATTAAAACGGGACAAATGAAAACGAAAAATGAGAGAAAAATCAGAAAATTAATGAATAAGGAAGAGAATGAACGAAAATAGCCCATAGACTGTCGATGAGAGCGACTGAATGACTCATAAAGACCTGGAAGATTCTCTCGGGGGTCAATCTCCCGCCACGTAGATCAACGTGGTTAGAGAGAAGAGACGCAGGAACTACGTGTGTGCGCGCTCGGCCTACGATGGTCCATTCTCTTCTGTTTACCTGTATTATGAAGGGTCATTAGGACGATCGATAATATTTGGGGCCCAACACTGTTCTCTATGAAACCAACTAGTGAGAAAAACATCGACAGAGAGATAACGTTATGCCGGCGACATGAGATAGATAACAATTAGGAATAAATATTTGAACATTTATAAGGAAAGCAATATTATTAAGTTGAAAAAGAATGAATAGGAGCAGACGAGCAGTAGCTGTTTATGAAACGATAGTTTACAAACGGGAAACTGATATTGATACTAGGAGTTTGTTTTCAATAATGCATACAAAACTTCCGCAGATGACTTCTCAATGTGGGGCTTCGTATTTCATGAGAATCTTAAATTTGCAAGACAACTTTGAAGCTTGGGAGGAGGTTTATTCGAAAGTTTAAAAAAACAATTTTCGAGATAGTATCTGAAATATGACATTTCATGTAGTTCTAAGCATAACAGAACACATTTTATGTTCTGAAATGTCCTAGAAATTGAGTGAATCGTCTTCAAATAGTGCTATTTTGCACTGAAAACGCGATATTTGGTACTGAAACTGATATAACACGGCTCAGAAACCGGTTTCTACCTATCAAAAACGAGCTACTGTGAATCCAGTAATATAATAAAAACTATCTAACTGTATACTTTGACCAAATTTATCTCGGCTCCTGTGATAAGTTTCGAAAAATTTTCAACTGAAGAAAACTATTTTTTGGTGTGTGACAAACTATTTGTTTGTTGACTACTATTTTGTATCACTAACAAGAAACTTGAGAAGCTGTCACCAAGTTAATGGGTTTTTTATCACGGGTTTTTAAAGATTTTCCCGCATTAGTATTTCTCCTTCTCGATTTCTCAGTGTTTGAGCACAAAGAAACTGTTTTTGTGATAATGTGCGCTAGTATTCGGTTTCAATGTTCAAACGTTTCGGAAATTTCTGACAATTGGAATTAGAAGAACCCCTTTTTATTGTTTTTGAACATAAATCGTTGACATTAAAATTTTCAAAAATAATCTGTCGTTGTCTTACACTATAATTTATTATTTTTCTCAACTCGCCATCATTATCATTTTTCAATTTTCAGATAAACTGCCTCCGTTCGGTGTCTACAAAAATTCATTGCAAAGTCAATCAGACGCTATGTCGAAAAGAAACCTTTGACCATCATTGGGTAGGTTTATCAGCTTATCATGAGAAAATACAAACTACTCATTCAGATTTGCGGAAACATTGGTGCGGATCTCTTCTGTGAAGTTTGCGAAGAACTATGCGGCGGTGGTGTTGGTCTTCAAGATTTTCGATGTTCTTGGTGAGTTCTTTCTTTTTTTTCAATGTTTGATTTCCGTTGTGACCTGAAACGCTATAAATGGCACATATTGATTGTAATGATAAGTGAAAGTCGTAACCTCGAGTATTTCTTTTTATCTTTCCCCGGTTATTTCATTTATGATGTCGCACATCCGTGATCGTTTGAAGATTTTTTATATCGAATTTTATAGAATTCACGTTTAAATTCTATAGTTCCAACCCCTAGAGAATGATTCTCAATTTCTTTTTTCTGCAAGTTGTTGCATAAAACTTGAGTGTTGCTTATCTCTTCAACCGGGAGTTTGTATCAATACAATGTAATCCACAAATTTATTATTTCCAAATATTAAAGTGTGATTTGGTTTGTCCTCGTTGACTATGGTATGGTTTTGAAATTCTTTCGAAATATTTTTTGAATAGCTAGCTTTTTTACTAGTGTGTAGCTCCGTTTCTCACTTTTTCTGAAAGGGTCACGCGAATCTATATTATTTTTCAAGCTTTTTGAAAACGTACATCCTGACACCGAGAGCAACACGCGCGTTTAAGATTTTTGATATAAATTTCGAAGCATCCTATTTCTGAATATTTGTTCCACTCTTCAAATTAGCTTCTTCTAGAAAATCATCAAATCGGAAATGAGGAGCTAATGCAAGCTGAAATTTGCAGAACCAGGCTCGGTACAAAAATCTGTTTCATTTTCTGATATCACTTTCTTAACAGGATGATTTGATGATATTTACATCATTTTGAATTTTAGTGAAGCCATAAGCTTGTTTTATCCGTCTGGAAATATCATTGAAATTTTCGTGTCTACTCCGATCTCTGATTGTTCAACTTTTGTAAGCTTTTCGTCTCCATTCTTACCTTCTCTCTCCCCTGAAAAAAAGTTAAAACTGCGAGCAAAAGTGCGCAAACAAATCGAACAGTTCTTTTCTCTATTTTCCAAGGCTTTTCCTTTTTCTTCTCACCCTACCCTAACCCACCCAAACCAACAGTTTTGCCTTTTCAAAATGAAATCATTCTCTGCCTTTCCTCAAAAAACTTTTTTCGAACATTTTCCCCGTTAAAAACCAGGAAATTGCGTTTTTCTAGAGTGCAGGGAAGTGCTGAAACATTCCAGAGCTCTTTTTCTTTCTTTTCAGCCCCTCCCCAAAAACAATTCCCTCTCCTCCGTTGGTATTCATTTCCTGTAGAGCTAGCGGATTTTGTATCCGCCCTCAATCTCTCTTTTTTTATTTTTGAGACTTTTATTTGACAATAACAACAGCTAAAATTTTATGAAGAGGTGACTAAGAATTGCGTTGATGAGTACCCAAGAGAGTTTATAGGATTTATTTTGCTGAAAATTTGGATTTTAAGAATTTTAGAAATTCCAGTCGCTGTCTGAGAATTAGTCGCGTCATAAATCAGTGCTTCTTGATTTTTAACTAGATTAGAGGAGCTACCAACTTGTTAACGAACCATATGGCATGGACGTTTTTGTTCCCTTTAAATCTATTTTAGGCTCTTCCCCCCCCCCCCCCCCCCCCACACGTCATTTTTTGAATCGTATATTCACATATCATGCAAAGATGATGTCACGGAAATATTACTGTATCAGGTAGATTAAGTCATTTTGTGTGGGTGCGATTCAACGTAACCTCATTTTTGAGGGATGTCACTGAGCGATTAATGATGCCAATCTAGGCGTCATCACAGAAAAAATAGTCATGTTCAATAACGCTTTTCTCTTGATTTTAGATTTCCAATCATTTATAGCAGGTTTCTGGAATTAAGAGGGATCAGCTTGCATTCTTAGCCGCCCATTCGCGCCGTCAATCTCTTTTAAGTCGTAATTTTCTTGTTCCGCATTTTAAACTGTTTTTTTTCTATATAGATTCTTCCGGATCTTTCTTTCTTCTATTTTTTTTTCTATTTTTTGTAACTAGATGGCAGGAAACAATATTGTGGGCAAGACTCTAAATATTTATACTATAAATTATGGTTCTGAAGGATGTGTAGGTATACAAATTCTTCGTGATCCTTGATTTCTTGTTTTTCGCCGAATTGATGTTCTCCTTGAAACATATAGAATATGCGTTCCGAGAACTCACGAATACTAAATTTTAATCGGGCAGCCTATAGGCGGTTTAAACCGAATAATGAAAAAAATCGCCCCTGACATTTTTATTGAGCCACAGTAGCGATAGTTCAGACCACCAGTGCTAGACTGATCACACAAAAAGGGCTGGAAGATGAATAGGAAAGTAGGTTCTTTTTCAATTCAGTCAGGTGTTCTTTTGTTATGAGGATAGCTCGATGGTGGCATAGAGTTTTAATAAAGTAAGAGGTTTATGAGATCAGCAGCTGTGTGTTCAATGCAGTTTAGTGCGGCTAACAAGCCTACCGTAACCTTTGATATCGTTTTACCAGACTTTTTTAAAGCTAAAAAATCCTGACAATATTGAGTTCGTTGAATGGATCTCCTATTCTGATAGTACAAAACGTAGTACTTTTTACTGTCTTAATAATAGAAGCAATCCCAAATCATCAACTTTAAGCTCAATTATCTCAATTTCTGTTAAAGATATAAAAAATTTGTCAACTGATAAAATATTGATCATATTTTGATTATTAATTTTTCTGTCAACAATGTATTAATATCTTGCAGAAAAATCGAGATAATTGAGCTCAAAGTTGACAGTTTGGGCAGGCTTCTATTGAAGGAGACACGGTAGTCTTTTCAAATTTCGTGAAGTCCAGAGGCAACTTCCGGTAGTTGGTTAATCTGTTTTTCGTGGGAAAGATGTTACATGTGAATAAAATTTCTAAACCAGTTAGTTCAATTTTTATGAGCAATAAATTCTGAAACCCAGAAAGAGTGATTCGAAAAAGTTTGATTTTTTCAATATTTATGTATAGTAAAGTTTATTGTATTTTTCAAACCCACGTTCCCAACAAAGATTTTTATCTAAATGCGTAGGGAAATTTAAATTAGAAATTGAAAACGAAACGTCCAATGTATCAGAAATGGTAGATCTGCTGGGAAGGTTAGCTAATCAAAAATGTCTATAACAAGATGTCTAGACTAGTGGGCAGAGTTGTCCATATCTGGAATTCAGACTGGACGACTAAATTGGCTTTAACCGAGTCTGCGGAAAACCATAAAAAATTTTCCGCCCTATTCTCACTTTAATCAATCATTCGTAACCACATCCAGTTAGTTTACTTTAGAGGTTCTTTTAATCCCACTTAAAGCTGACAACATTCAGATTGGCAGAATGAAATACCCAGTTTGCGGAATTCGAATTGCTTAGAATCTTGGTATCTCTTGTTGGTTACTATAGTCATACATCCACTTTGAGATTCAAAGTTGAAAGCTCAACGTGCAGTATGGTGATCACTCGTTGCCTTTACTTATTTTTTCGCTCTTTGTTCTCCTCCCTCACAAGCAATCGACAGGGAATCAACCTTCCGAAAATCAAAAAACTAACAAAACCTTTCCCTTCGCCCATTGATCTGCACTTATTATCAACCGCTAGTTCCACTACATGTTTTGCTTGCCGCTTAGCCACATGACACCTATCGCGTTGAGTCAGGAGGGTGAGAGCCGCAAGGAAGATATCTCCGAAACGCCGCCCAAATCGAAAAAAAGTAGAAAAAAAACATTTGCGATCAATCCTATCATCCTCGAATCATTTGGAGGCTATCCGCTGGGCTATCCTTCGGATGGCGCAACGGTTGCGCAGTCGGCTGGACAGGGACAAACTACCTTCGGGTCGGTATGTCTATCCTTTCGCATGTCCGTCTTCTTCTCTCTTACGATCCATCCGGTTTATCGTGTCCTGTGTGTATGGTATGTTTGCGACCACCACCACCGACACTCTGATTCTCTGCGCATGGCCCTTCCTTACGGCACTATTTCATTCCTTCTTCAACAACCGCATTTGATCGTACGATGCTTTTCTGGCAGTTTCCTTCTTTTGTGAGGAATCAGAAGAATAGAGGTTTTTTCTTATTTTCCTCATTCTTCGACACAATTCCAAAAAGAGTGAAAACGAAATAGTAAACGGGGCCTTATTTCAGAACCTTCTCTTCTTTTTTTCCCCTACTAGTTATCAAATCAGTTTTGAATGTGTGTGTGTTTGTCAAACGAACTTTTGTTGTCCTTGTTGTCCATTCTGTCTTGTTTCCCCTCGTTTGAACTTCCCTGCCCCCCTCAAACCATTGCTGATTATAATCATCACATGGCGGCGTGTTCTCTTTTTTTCTTCTTTTCGAAACCAACTAGTATGGCCTGAGGTGAAACATACAGATTAGCTATAATCGTTTACTCCCGTTGGTGTCTATTTTCCGATATGCCGCGTTTACCGGACATTGCAAATAATACATTCAACTGTCCCTTCTGCCATCTTTCTCATTGGAATTGATCACACCGTCGAAACGTGTCGCTATGAATAGACTGTAGGCCCTGCGAATTACACAAAAAATTCTTTAAGGATTAGTGACGTCAAATAGACGACGACTAATTGTTTGTTTGTGTGGTTCACACAGTTTGAAGAAGATACTTCTTCTTCAAAATCAACCGGCCACTTCAAAAAAGTCATTGATCTTATAAACCTCCCAAACCGATTGAATACAGTCAATGAGCCTTTGCAGAATAGATGCAAACTATACTTTCATTTTGACGAACGGTCTCATGAATCACCTATGCAGTCACATGCCTGTTCCGTTTTGTTGACTGTATCGATTCTTTAGTCTTCAGAGTGTGACTGACTCCAGGGACTATACAACTAAATTTGATACTCCTCCGAAATTCCGCTTATGGATACATTTTTGTCATTGTTATCAAAACAAGTCCATCGTTTTGTTGTGTAGAATTGTAGGGGCCTGTCTGGAACCCCGTCCTCCGGTATATAGATTTCTGACCCACTAGCTACATTTGGGTTCAATATTGAAGTTGGTCTCTTGGCCTCACAAAATTAGGAACCAGGTTCCTCCCTTCTCATCAAGATAACAATCTCTATCTTTGTAGCCGATCAAGAAAAAATCACTTAGAAATAACTTATTTTTGTCCATTTCACTCCCAACAGAATCGCTCTTCTCAATTTCGAATTTCTAAATGTTTTTACTTTAAAAATTACACGTTTCTTACCAAACAAACTGTACGCTTTTTGAAGGTGTTGGCGTGTTGTGCACACTAAGTGTAAACCTAAATTCACACTTCACTGCGATTTCGGACGCTTGGCACGGACAATCATCCCACCCTACTGTGTGACTACGAGGAAGCCAGGAAATCGAAATCAAAGAATGGTAAAAACAATAAATTAGATGGTTTTTGAATGAACCTTTTTTCCAGGCTGTCATAGACACCATCGAAGTTCCAACCGAGATCGCCAACTGGCGTCCAATCATGGTCATTGTCAACCCGAAGAGTGGATCTGGAGCCGGAAAGCAACTGCTGCGCAACTTTAGAGCTCATCTCCACCCAGCTCAAGTTTGTGATGTCCTCAAGTCCAATATAGCTGCCTCTCTTCGCTGGATCGACGACCATCCAGAAGTCGAAGTACGCATTTTGATTGCTGGAGGAGACGGAACGATCTGCTCGGCCCTAGATCAAATCGACACACTCAGCCGACGAATTCCGGTTGGTAGTCCCCCTCCCCCCATTAATAGGTTTTCCTCTTTGAAATCCACATTTCTAAAACCGCTTCGTTCCGATTAAATCTAATATCGTTTAGGTAGCCGTTTTACCTCTCGGCACTGGTAACGATCTTTCCCGATGGTTGAAATGGGGCAAAAAATGCGGCGGCGACATCGACGTCATCAAGGTACGTGGTCGTCCGGAATCAGATAATTACATATAGACCTGTTTTTTTTCTAGCTGATGGAAGACATACAAGAAGCGGAGGTTACATTCGTCGACCGCTGGACAATCGACGCGGAAAGCCAGAAAAAAGTGAGTAGATGAGGGTACATAGATTGAGAGTCCGGGAACAATTTTTTGGGGGACATAGTTGTGAGAGTACGAGAAAAACTAGTGTGCCATAATTCTAGCTTGGAGTACGATTGCAGTCGAACAAAAAGCTGTCGATGACCAACTACGTGTCGGTTGGAGTCGATGCATGCGTCACCCTTGGAATGCAGAACACCAGAGAGTCGATTCCAAGAGCCATGAGCAGCAGGTAAAGTGTAATGAAAATTTGAAGGGAGGAGAGGGACGAAGGAACTTTTTGTAATTTTTTCTAATGTCTTTGATAGAAAAAGAAAAAAAGGTTGACAGATGGGGCCTCAAAAAGTATAGAATGAAACGCACGTTCCGGATTATTTAGAAAAAACTGCGTTAAAACAGTTAGACATAAGTCATGGAAAAATCTAGAGCAACTTTTCAATTAAGCTTGAGCATTGGCAGTTGGGGTAGTGGAAGAGTTTCAGTGAGACATTCTGAGTTAAAATTGGGAGGGGTTAATCAAACCTAATAAACGTCAAGTATAGTAGAGGTCATTAAAATGTAGAAAAACAAAATTCTCAAATAAAATTTCAGAGAATGTGAAGCAGACCTAGGTTCAAAACTTTGCATTCACAGAATTTGAAACATTTCTATTTTAACTATTTTCTGATACCCGAAAGAGTTTTTTCATGCTTTCAGTACCAAAACGGGCCGAAAATCTGGAAATGCAAAGTTTCCAGTCTAGGTCTGTTTTACATTTTTCACAATTTTCATAGTCATTGGAAACTTGAGAGCCGAGCTCCAGACATCTCTCTTAATGACTGGCACTGTCAATACGTCTTAATGACTGGAACTTGAAGTTTATTCGGTTTGATTAATCCCTCCCTCTTTGTTTCAAAGTAAGTTATCGACCCCCTTTTAAAATATCCAATAAAAATTTATCAACTTTGTTCAAAAGTTGCTCTAGACTTTTTCATGTTCTTGACCGGTACTGTAGATATTTTGAAAAATTTTTTTTTTAAAACTACATAGTGTTTTACATTGTTACTGGCATATAGGAACCAGAATGTTTGGCGTGCTACGTTATTTTATGTTGTAATTAGGATTTTTCGAAATTCCCTTCTTGGTGATAGAATGAGAGTTCAACAGTAATTAGGACAGAACCAGAAATTAAAACTGACTGCTGTACTTTTCAGACTACTCAACAAGTTCCTTTTCTTCACTTTCGGAACCAAAGATGTCTTCGAGCGCGTCTGCAAGGGGTTGAACGAGCGTATCGAGCTTTACTTGGATGATGTTCACGTCAACCTTCCAGACATTGAGGGGCTCATCTTCCTCAATATCCCATATTGGGGAGCCGGTGTAAAGGTAGAAAAAATGTACCACTCTTGACTCTTATCATTAGAATTTCAGCCATGGGCTACTTACAACGACAGCCACCGCCAGGACTGCGACGACGAGACCATTGAGGTGTTTGCCGTGACCTCATCTTTCCACATTGCTCAAATGCAAATTGGATTGGCCAGCCCATTGTGTATCGGACAAGCCAAGCACGCCAAGCTGGTGTTCAAGGGAAATCACTCGTTCCCAATGCAATCGTAAGTGAACAGCGAAAATCTTGTATGCTTACTTAATTGACCATATACAGAGACGGAGAGGCATGGGTCAACTCAGCCGGAACCGTGGAGATCTCACACAAGTGCAAGACTGCGATGTTGAGAAAGGCGGAGAAGCAGAGAAGCGGATGTGGAATGTTCTTCTAAGAATCCGTTCATCTTGCTTGCTTTTACTTTGTGTTTTTCTTTCTTTTTTTGTTCTATTCCGCCATGTAAATTGCAGTTCTTCGCCTTCATTTTCCTAATTCCCAACACACAAAACCCACTATTCGAAGATCTCTTTACATATTTAGTACGTTCGAGTATTCGACCGTTTTGTATTCGGAGTAACTGTTCTTCTGGTTGTCTGTCCTTTATTCATATTTTTTCTTTTGACACGAACCCCCTCCTTTTTTCCATATTCCCCCTCTTCCCCTCCACCCACTCGCCTTTTTCCACAAAATTCTATAATTCCAGAATTTTAGACGTAGCACGCATATGCATATACACTAAACCCTTGTATATCTTTTTTGTTGATTGATTTTCAAACGGTGTCCCCTTTTTTTTTCATTTTTCCATTTTTCTATTCTGCTTTTTTAATGCCAAAAAAACATTATTTTGTGTCGGAGTAAAAAAAGAAGATATATACAAGATGACAGAATGATACGAAGAACAAATTTTCTGAAAAGAGAGAGAAAAAGCAAAGAAGACGAAGAAGAAGAAGAAGAACATTATCGGAATTCGAACTTGAATTATTCAGCTTCCTCCTTCTTCCTTTTTCTCCAGCAGAAAAAAAGATTTCAGCTTCCGATATGATATATGCATCATGCTACTTCCTTTCCCCCCTCATTTTCTTTCGGGTCTCGCCACGAACAAACACTGTTAACCCCCAACCCATTTTTCATTGCTTTAAAAGGATTGCACCTATACAATCTTCTCATTTTCCGCGTCCGCCTATTTACTTCGCGCTCTCACTCACTCGTTTCACAGGACGTCTGGGTAATACGGAACTCCCCAATGAAAAACGCGCGATTGCAATACACACCAGTGTGTCAGGAACATTTGAGCGTTTTTCGCAGTAGTAGTTCTGTCTGAGAGACCGCCAGTTCTTCATCGCCATGGCTTTTTTTCGGGCTTCTTCTTCTTTATGACCAGGATCCAACCATGTTTTTTTCTAACTACAAGAAGTCTCCAGAAAAGACAATTTCAAAAGAAATTGACCTTTAATCAGATTCGCGGGATATCGAAAAAAGAAAAAATAACCATGGTTTGAATTTTAATGATAAATGCAAGTTTTCGAGGTTTTCAAATTCGTTTTTCAAAGAATTTATAATTGTAAAGTTTTCTTTTAAAAACTAATTTTTATCTACAGCAATATGAGAGCTTCCTGCACAAATTGACTTTACTTCCTCATTTTTCTGATTATCTGAGGATAGAATGTGATTTGATTTTGAACCGACGTGACAAGTTTTTCTGTTATTGTGTACTCTCTCAAAATTTAGTTTTGACACTTTTGAGTAATTAGATCGTTTGTTTGAATCAATAAAAACTCTTCACTTCTGACTAAAAATGTTGTTAGACACATATTTTGTATGAAGTTTTCACACTTCCTCACAGAAATTTTCTCACTTTCGACAAAACTCTTTTTCGAAATTGCAACCGAAATATTTGCAAAGGTTCTATTCCGAAATTCTAATTATCCGAAATTTTTTGAAATAGTAATATTCTGAAGTTCCGAAATACCGATATTTTGAAACTCGAAATTTTCGACATTTCGTAAAATTTCCAAAATGCCATTTCAAAATACCCTGACACTTCTGACTAACTCAACATGTTGCCGGACACATATTTCTGTATGAAGCGCTTCATCACAACAATTTTCAGTACGAGTCTTCTCAAAAACAAGCCGCATACCCATATTAGCAATTACCTTATATTCAATGCTTTCATTTTCCCCAAACGCCGCCGGAAACCAATTTCGTTTTTGGGCTCACTCGTACACACACACAAACACCAGAAGGTGGTACCAAAGGTACCCCTCATTTCAGGTAACTGCTAATTAAAAATTGCTCTAGTTCTCTGCTCTCTGATGCCCCTTGATATATCTGCTGAATTCTCATTCCCGGAGGTTTTCTTCAAAATCAATCATTGTGGTCTAGAAATTTCGATTTCCCTAAACCAACCCGCTCCGTTATATCTTTCTGATGGACATTTAAAAAACACATTTTTTCACTGCCTTTATTTTTTTTTTCATCAAACTCACAAAACCTTAGATTAGCCGACAGATTGTAGACACGCAGAATGCAAATTTCCGGACCTCTTTCCGCTTTTATAAATGATTTTATGTATGTGTTTCTAATCATATTGGGGTGTGACAAAGACCTCTCTCGAACACATTCAACCGGTTGCTGCTTCGTCAAGTATTCACTCACCCACTCGCATAAGCCGTTCTCATCCCTCTCAGTTCTTTGTAGCCAGCTCTTACTAGTCATCGTTTTTGTATGTTGGTAGTTTTTTGAATCCAAAATTGCAAACAGTACATTTGATTTCTCCAGCGTTCATTTTAAAACAGGTGAACCCGACGGCCTCATTAATTTTTTCTCTTGGTCAATTTGAATTAAAAGTTACGAGGGTTATATGGCAAAAGTGCATATTTGCTCGACCTACTCTCTTTCTCTCCGATTCTTTTTCGTACTCTGATTTTATCGTTGTGAACGTTCAGTTTTTTTTTACCTGTGTGTTTGACGTCTGTCCTGTCACTCAAGTGCTCATTCCCTTCTAGAGCCACTTTCAACCCACATTGAAATTCAAAGTTTAACTTTGCCTTCCAAATCCTAAACTTGATTTGTTCCAACCAATGCTACAAATTTACAGAAGCTTGGGAATTATCGATGACTGCTATGACGTCGTCATTGGTTTGTTCTGGCGTTCAGCAGTTTGAGAACAAACCAAAAGGTTGTGATTTGTGTGAGGTGTGCTTCAAGCCCGTAAATCTGGATAACATTGATGTTCATTTGGCAGCTGGATGTGGAATGGAAATGTAAGTGTTCTAGCGAATTTTTATTGGGTGTTTCTGATTTTATGCCAGATTCTCGGAACTCGGATTGACCTTTTCAAGCTATTTTTGAAGCTATTTTTCCTTTTCAAGCTATTTTTGTTTCGAAATATCGGAATCTTCCGATTTTCAAATTTTAGAAAATCCTATCACAAAATCGCGAAAAACTGGTGTAGCTCTTAATCCAAGAAAAATTCATAAATATTCAAATCAAAACTGTACTCCTAAAACGCTCGGTTTTTGAAATTTTCGAAATTCTGATTTCTGTTCCTAACATCCATGCATATTATCAAAAATAATTTTATAGTTTGAATATTTTTGACACCTCTCAAGAGAACACGGTATTGCAGAAAGGAACCTGATATTTGGCTTTAATATCTCTTAAATTTGACTCCGACCCCGGTTCGGAAGCGTCGCGTGTCCACTTATTGCTTATTAGCTGAATATTCAACAACGCTTTAGACGCTTCAATTTTCGAAAAATAGTTCAGAAATTAAAAAAAAACTGAATTTTGCGGAGAGGAAGTGTAATCAAGCGAACTTTCTCCAAGTGCTCATTCGCGATGCTGGGAAATATTGGCCGATTCAATAAGTATTCCGTGAATGATCAATAAATCATAGTATTCCAGTCAGAAACGGTACAATCTTCCAAGAAGCAAGCCGAGAAAGCGAGTGAAAAAGGTTCAAGCTGGAGAAGCCAAGTTCAAGGTTCCAAAAAAGAAAGTGAGTTGATGAGCCAACGGAGCTTCGCTTATTTATGGCATAAGCGATAAATTAGAGCAGAAGAAATAAACTTATCGAAACACCTGTGATAGAAGACCCTTCTAACTGTCAACTTCAAGCCTGTTTTTATGGCTTCCTGTAATAGATATCCAAATGCAGTCAACTGACAAAAAGTTCATCATACATGATATTTTGTCCATTGAACGTTTTTACATATATCTTACAAAAACAGGGATAAAATGGTTAAAATTGATGATTACGAAACCCTTCTAAATATTACACGTTTTTGGATAATTCAAATTTTTTGGACCTTAAAATATTATAATCAGGGAAACTTATACTTTACAGACAAACACTCCGCCAAAATCCAAAATAGACATGAAGAAGGAAACAACTTCAACCCATAACCAGTGATGCCAATCATACTTGTCAGTTCCATGACGCTTCCGCAGTATTTTGATGACAATTTCAGTTTTAACAAACACGTGCAATTTTTTAATACTCGAACAATCTCTGACCACGGTTTCCTGCCTCGATAAAGTTTCCTATGTAGTCTGAAAAATAAATGATGCAATCTAAAATATTGGACTTTGCGGGCAAGGTGTTTTTCATGGAAAGCAATCTCTCTCATTTCCTATAGTGATCAAGTGGATGGAAAACGGAACGATGGATAATTAGATTCAGAGCGTTAATCGGAAATTGAAGGATTTCGATGTGGCTTCCGTTGAAACGTTTGTTGGTTAGTACGACTAATCTTGTGGAAAAGGACATTCGCCTCTGTGAAGTGTGGTTTAATCGCTTGATCCAATTGGGTTTTACCCGCTCGACGATCTGTGGTAGTTTTAGAATTGTTGAGAAAATTTATCTAAATCTATAGAATGTCAAATAACAATCGTCAAGATTCTCCTAAGTTGCTTCTAGCCAAAACTCGAACCTGATATTTACCGTCTTTTCTCTGAAAGTCGGCTACCTGTACTTGTATTTGGGCTCAAAGTTCTCAGATTCTGCTAGAGATGTGAAAAATATGCCCATTGAAACATTGCATGATGTTATATCACAAATAGTTTGATTTTTAACATATTTTCCGTTACCAAACTATCAGGGTTCTGCAAAAGTAATGCGGGCACCGTTTAAACTGATTCTATCTACATACAGCGTAGTTTGTCAAGTAAGCCACTAATTTTTTGCCTACGCTCTGGCTGAAAGTAGAGGATCATTCTGAAAAATATTCAACTGATTGATGTTCTCTTGCTTACATTTTGCAATCAGATACAGTTTAATCAAACGCGCATTACTATTGCACCGCCCTAATAATAGAGCTTCAAGTGCAAGTACAAGCCTCCGTATTTTCGCAGATATCAGGATACTCCTACACTTCCCCATTGTTCTGAGTTATCTTAGTTTTGCTCATCAGTATCCAAAAACAGAAAATTAGTAAACCAATGATGATATAATGTTGAACAATTTATAAGCTGAGAATTTCTTAATATTTCTTATCTTAACCAACATAATTGAACGCAAAGTGCAAGCACCATTTATTTGTCGTATTCTCTCTAATTGTCACACCTTATAATTACAATTTAGTTCAATTATCTCGGTTCTTTTGAAAGATTTCGAAAATCTGCCAATTTTTTAATATTTCTTAGGAAATCCGGAACAATTGAGATCAATCTGCTCATTCCCGGGATTAAAAAGTGTCATCGCTTCTTCTTTGTCCTGTCTGCCTGATTTGTTTCTCTTTTTTTGAATGATTTGAACAATTTCTATTTTAAAATTTAAATTTTCAGAAATCTTTTTTAGCCACAAGCTACTACGCAATACGACGTTTAATAGATTTAAATCCCTCTCTTGTGCGATTCTCAAAAAATTTTGAAAAAAAAACTTTTTTTTTTGAAATTTGGTTCCTTCTTCCCTCCTTCAGATGAAAAAGTTCCTCATTCAGTCATCTTTTCTATACTCAGTCTGTTTTTTTTAACTTGTGAAGTTCAAGCCAATATTTTTCGAACTGTCGCTTTTTTCAACCATTTCTCTATGTTGAGTGAAAAACAGGAAATCTCCCGAGGCCCCTTTTTTCAGGGCAGCCAAAGTGCTGAACTTTATTTTCCTCAATTTGTGTGTTTCGATAAAACGTCCACTGCAAGTTTTGAATATTTATCTCTTTTTGATCCTTTTGTTAACCAAGTTTTCTATTTATGTTCTGTCAGCGCCAGATATTTCTGCTGAACAAAAATATTCTTTCGCAGTTTTTCAGTAACAATTTTTCACTGACCACAAGCGTTTTTTTTTTTTTTTTTTTTGGTTTATTTATTTATTTCAACGAAGGGAAGAAAAACCACTAACACGTGAAATGTCTATGAAACTAGGAGATATAACAGGGACATACATTTGTAGTAATTGGGAGATGAAGGATAAACCGAGTTAGTAATTAGTTGAATTCAAGACAAGAAAATGTTTTAGATCACAGGATAATAGTCGATTTTTGAAAGCCGCTGACGAGGGCTTTACCGGAAACACATTGGCGGGTAAAGAGTTCCAACATCTGATTACTCTATTAGAAAGAAATTGAGAAGATATTTTTGTTGAGTTTTTGATAAGTGATTTGAGATAGTATTTGTGACGTCGCAATGATCCAGCATGATTAAATATTTCGAAAATTGGAACCTCCATGATAATTTCTTTGGAGACAATAATTTTATACGTGTAGACCAAATCATTATAGAGCCTGCGATACTCCAAGGAACTTAGCTGACATTCTTCCAGTGCTTCAAAGTATGAAGTGTATGCCATCCTGAATTTTTTGAAAATTCTGAAAACAAATGACTTTTGCACCGATTCCAATTTTATAATATGATCCTTTAGGATTGGAGAAGTGACTATCGTTCCATATTCGAGTAAAGGGCGTATGTAAATTGTATAGCATTTTATAAAAACACTCCACGATGCGTTTTTTAGAATGGAAAAGAACATGTTGATCCTCTGATGTGATTTCCGAATAGCGTTGCCTGAATAATAACCTCAAAGATTAGAAATATTTGCTTCATACATCAGGTTTCTGGTGAATGATAGTTTCAACTGGTATCTGAGTTATTTTCAAACTTCTCTTTTACTGAATATTTCATGTTTTCCTGGGAGAGAGAAAGAAAATTGAACCAATTTATTTTATTTTCGCAACTCTCTTGCTGATTTCCGACCACCAAACTTCTGGAGGGAGACATTGAAAAATTGACATCAGCAGCTCGCGTAACACACTCTCACAATTAAACCAGAAGTTTCGCAATCAGGTTACTGGACTTGTTTTCTGGGCTCATAGTGGGAGCATGTTGAAAATAAAAAGATACATTATTTTGGAGAGCATTGGAAACAAAATGAAGGAGGGGCAAAACGAAGCAAGAAAAAAGCGAGAGAGTCTAGTTTGGCACACGCCTGACTAACACTGCTCGTATTTCAAGAGCAATCACCATTTTTCTCCCATTCGTTTTTCTGTCAGCTTGTCATTAGGACATGTATGGGTAGGAAGTTTTTTTCTTCTTCTGGTTAATTTTTCTGAAATTCTGGTGTTTTTCTGAATATTGTTGTTGGTGGAAAAAATTAAAAGTGATTGGTTATTCTATTTTTCTTTTTTCCCACCTTCTTACCATATTCAGTTAGGAATGCTGCTCTGGACTGAAAAAAAACGAGTATAAAAAAGCAGGACTCAAACTTTTGAGAATTATAATAACAAATCTCTCATATGATCATAACCAATTGAATTGTTTCCTAATCCCTTATTCATCATTTTTATTTCATTTCTATAAAAACCAGATGATTTTCTCATATTACCTCTTACCATTTTTTCTTCAAAAATATCTCAAAAAACTTTAGACAATGTCAAGTATTCAAAATGCAACACGCGATTCAATCTAGTTGTTGTCCTCTCTCTCTCTCTCTTTCTCGTTTTGCTCCTTTACCCCGTTTTTTTCGTCGTCTCTCTGTCTTCAGGGTCCCAAGTCCACGTTCCACCCTCGTTTTCTTTTTTTTTATCCGCTTTCATGTGCTCTCTTTTGAGACTTCTTCCAGCATCTCAACGCAATCTTCAAGAATTCCCCGGTTTTTTGCCGCTTTTTATTTTTTCTTGTATTAACAAGTAATCAAATATCAAATATTCCAGATCCATCCATTGCTATGAGCAAAAATGCATGGAAGACAGTGACTACGAGACAATGGATAATCCTTTCGAAATAGAAGAGGCTGCACTTATGGACAGGTTTGTTTAGAACTGACTCATCCTTGTTCTTATACTGAAAATTTGTATATGAGGGATTCGATTTCACAATATTTTTTTTCTATTTTTTTTTTGTTTCTATCGATCATTAAATTTGCTGACCCGTCACGTGCGAAATCTTTACCTCCAATTAATATAATAATTGACGCTATTTGAAAGCAATAGAAATGGATTGAGAAAGAAAATCAAATAAAACTTGACGTTTTGCTTAACGATATCTCGGAAAACGCTCAGAAATCACAAAAAAATTTAGAAAATTTAGTTTGATTCACATTTTGAACATGTTTCACATATGTGAAACTAAGTAATTTCCAGAGAATTGTTAAACAATAATTATTTTGAAAGCGTGTTTGAAAATGGATAATGTAAACCATTAAACCAATGTTTCTCATTTTCTGTAAGCGAGTGATAGATTGACAAAATGTTCATCATTATATCGCATACATTTTGGGAATAAATAATTTTTGACAGCTTTCACGGAGATCGGGGTAAATTTAGTCAAAGTTTATAGTTTTCGGGAATTAGCATAAAACGTTCAATAATATTTTCGTTGGTAAGTATTGATGTACTATAAAAACTCTATAACAATCAAATTAAAGCCAAATTTTTACGTTTTTCAAAAAAAATATTGAAAATTTGACAAATGATGAACTTTCAATCAAAAAACCACCAAAATTTTATCAGTTGACCAATTTTTCTCTTATAGGAATCAAAAAAATCTATTACAGCATTTACGGTACCTTCAATTTTCAAAATTTTAAAGTGAATATTGAAAAGTTAGCATGACTCAACTTTTGAAATTTTGACTAATTTCCTTCAACTCTTTCTTCTCGCACAACTTTTCAACTCTCCCTCAATTAATTTCTCTCTCTTTTGCTTACTCTTTGTTCCCTCCAACGCTCCCAGACAGGGAAAAAGACAAAATGAGGACCATCAACGTTGTTCATGGAATATAATCTTTTATTTAAATTGGCACTTCCTCAGTTTCTCATTTCAACTGACCACCAAAAAAAAATGAGGCGTATCCCGTCATGTATGGAAGCGTTCCTTTCCTTCATCGCTTTTTCTCAAGGCTGCGTCGTCCGTGAAAGGTTGACGGGCACAACTGGTTAGATTTCCATCCTAAAAAGCCAGATGGCCTCTTTTTGCTACC